TGCTTGGCAGATGGTCCTCTTCTACCTGTGGACAGACCTCTCTCCACCTGGAAATTAGGGTTTCCCGTGAGTGGACTGTCATCTCACTAGGGGTGGCCATCCTCTCCCACCCACTAAACAAGACTAAGACTGTAGAATACTGTCTTGGTCACTTTTCTCTCATTGCTGGGACAATACACCCAGCACCCAAAACTAAGGAAGGAAAGGTTTATTTAGTTTACAGTTTCTGGAGGTTTCAGTCCATAATCAACTGGCTCTGAGGTAGGGTGGTGTGGCACAGGGGCAACACTTCAAGGCAGCAGGCAGATCAAAATGGGGAAGAGCAAGCCTCTTTTCCTCCCTTCTTTGTACACAGGGCCACCCCCACCCCCTTCCAGGGCAGGTGTAGCACTCACAAAACCTCTGTGCCCTCCTCTTGCACAAGATGAGGGTATTTATAAAGTAAAGATCCTGGCTCCCTGCTGAGTCTCTTGTTAAACTTCCCAACTTGACACAATGTATCAGCCGCAACAATTACCAAATTCTGAAGATTTCCACCTCCCAAAACACATTAAAGGTCCCCAGTTCCCAACTGTACTGAGCCTCTTTCCCTGAACACCTGTAATCCATTTCTGAATGTGTCCCATGTCTGTGCCTAATAAAACTTTCTCTTGCCTTTTACTGATGCATCCTGGAAGTTCTTTTCCCATGATGAGAGTCAGCGAACCTTCAAACTTACCACTAAAAAGGGTGGGTTAGGTTCTTTGTTCCAGTCTTGGGACCCCAGACCCAGCCTGGTTCTAGCTCTGCCATAGGATGGTTTCCTGTACAAACCACCCTCAGTATTCACTCGTGTTAAAGCCACCAGGGTGGTAAATGCCTATAATCCCAGCTACTCGGGAGGCAGAGGCAAAAGGATCTCAAAGCAAGGTCACTCTGGGAGATTTAGGGAGCTCTGACTCAAAACAATGACAAACTCCTCATTTGAAATCAGCAAAGTTGGAGAAAATTTTGCTTGCCTTCAAAACATTTATTTTTTCTCTCCTTTTCTTTTTCTTCTCTTTTTGTTTTGTGTGCTAATTGAACCCCAGATCAAGACAGGTGCTCTACCACTTATCCCCAAAATACTCATTTCTCAAGAGTCAAACCTGACTGAAAGAATACAGTGGAAGCCAGGTGTGGTGGTGCACATACCTGTAATCCCAGCACTCAAGAAGCTGAGGCAGGACAATCACCTGGAGTTTGAGGCCAGCCTGACCTACATAGCTCAAAAAACAAACCAACAAACACAACAGTAGAAGTCTAGCCTTTAAATGAATAGTAGGATAGGAATACTTTCTTCTGTTTCAACCACTTCCTTGTCTTCAGTGCATTTGCTGGAATTCATCTTCCTCTGCTTGTGTTTGCACTATTTACACTGTTTACTATGCTGCTTGGCTGAGTAAAATGAGTAGGTCTCTCAGCACCTTTATTGTCCCAGAGGTAGGTGTCCAAATTTAGGCCCACACCTCTGCCCAGGCCTGTAGAACAGTCTCCCGGCCCAGTATAATGATCAATCTGGCTATTGTGCCTGCTGGCTGGAGCTTATTTCTTATTCTAGGGACATTTCTTGCTTTCTCTGACACCTTCTGGCTCACTCGCTGTTGCTGGTTCCCGGTATCCACTTACCTACAGACACCAAAAGAAATATATCTTTCAAATTATGCGTCACTTTGTCTGGTGCTTGGTACACGGCCAGCACCAGCAAATATTTGGATGAATTGATAAAAAGTGAATGTGTGAAAACACCTTGGAAACAGTATGTACTCAAGTGACATTAACTTCCTCCTTTCAACATCTAGCATTGGGAGCCAGCCTGCAAACTGACCTGGGGGTAAAACAAGGAATAAAAGACAAAGAGACAAATTTCTCAAGAGGACAAGAGCTCTGGGAGTCCATAAAATCTCATTCTCTTTAGTAAATCAAGGTGATGTGGCAATCACACAATCCTGGGTTCAAGAAATTGTAAATGATTAATAAGGAATCCCAATCACTTCACACCAAGGGGTCATGTTTAGCCCTTGGCCACGTAGTTCTGCCCTGGGGTACTGTGAAGCCAGAGCTGGTCCTGCACACAAACAAGGGAGGGAGGGACACCTTCCACCTCCTGTGGTCCCAGGGAGAGGTCACAAGGCCTTGGGCTCTGGGGCTGATCAGTAACCCCTCACCCACATCTAGCAAAGACTTCTTTCTTGTTCATCCTTATTTTAGAGTACAGTTAGGTCATAAAAGCAATTGAAATCTAAGCTTTAGCAAGTCATAACCCAATAATTTAAAGCACATTATGTAACTAATACAGCTTGTACAAAAGTCTGGACTCCCCTTCCGAGAGATTTCTACAGTAGGAAAACCTTAATTTTCCCTACAGGTCAGTGAAAGACTATTGTCTTCTGGAAACTTCCTACAGTTGTCTTATAAATGCTTGCAGTTGCTCACCAGGTGAACTTTGTGTGAATCTGTAGAAACCTAGTACTACTACTATTGACAGTCAATCCAAAATCCCCACCAAAAGGGTACCACATTATAAGTTTTTAAATGAGTCACACGAATGTCCTAGTTCATTTGAAGTTTGTTTTGCCACCTACGTCAGTTTCCTCACCTAGTTTGTGCGCCATTAAATCTGGGTGTGGAGTAGAAAATCTGAATTTGGACTAGAACCTGGGTCTAAACACACTTAACAGGGTGTCTGTCAACTTTCTGTTGTTGTGACAAAATACCTGAGAAAATGAATAAAAAGAGGAGGTGTTCACTTGGACTCATGATTTCAAAGGCTTCAGTCCTTGTTCCCCTGGTTCTGTTACTCTGGGCCTGAGGAGGAGCAGAGCATGATAGCGTCAGGAATGTGTGCAAGAGAAACCGCTGACCTCATGGCAGTCAGGAAGCAGAGCTTGAGAAGGAGGCTCGGAATGAGCTATGTCCTTCCAGGGCACACCCTCCTGTGACCCGCTTCCTCCCCTGGCCCTGCCTCCTACAGACTGTACCCTACCCGATGATCAAACTCTACAGTGAATGAACTGAAGGGTAAAATCAGTACCCCCAGGAGCCAATCACCCCCCAAAGCCCAGCACACCAGGCCTTTAACAGGTGAGATCTGAAGGCCTTCTAAACCCAAACCACGACACAAAAGTCAAAATTTTCTCATCTATTGAGCAAATGCTTCACATTGCTTATGGAGCTAGGTGAGTTACACAGACTACGTCAGTTAATTTTCAAAAGCTGGACTTCGAGATCTCTATTCTTACCCCACTTCATTCTTTACAAATGATGAAAGCTCTTGGAGACTGAAACACTGGCCCAAGGGCTGGGAAAGAAGCCCTTGGAGAAGGGCCTGAGTTGAGATACTCGTAAGTGAAAACTTGCCATAGAAACGTAAGATGACTTACAAGTGTCTCTGAAACGATGGTTTCTGTGTCTCTCCCTCCTCCATCCCCAACAGTCCTCTTACCCAGACCAACTCACTTAGCATGGGAGCCAGGAACTCTTCTGACCTCAGGCCACAGAAACCCTCGGGTGCAAGGCCTGTGCTCTGCCTCCTCATCTGTGTCTTGCTGGTTTCCATATTAGTAACCACGGCCCACATCTCCGGATGTCACGAGTGCATGCTGAAAACTTAGACTCGCAGGGATCCACCCAAAGACATTGGGTGACTTTTATCAGGTGACAGGGAGACAGGGGCTTAAGGAGGGCAAAGGAGCCCCATAATGACACAGAGAGGAAGAGAGCCTGGTCTCCTGCTTCTTTTCCTCCACACTGGCAGCTGGGATCGTGCTCTGGGGCAGAGTGGTGGTTACATATGAATTTTTTTATTACATGTACTGTAACTGTAGGGTGTCAACCTGCTCAGGTTGCAAAATGAATGAGCACTTCACTTTTAAATAGATGCATTGATGCAAATTAGATACACATTTCAAAGCAATGCGTTTTTATGCAGCAGAAGCAGAAAAATTTAAGGATTTGGGTGTAATTTGTTTACTCAGTGAGCATTCCCTGGATGCCTAGGGAGTGCCAACCATGAAGCTATGGGTGAGCAGTGGCTGGCAGAGAGGAAGAGAGAAGCCTTCCTTTGGTCTGCCCCAGAGGAGTTCATACTCAGAGTGTGCAATGCCACCATGAGGGCACATCGGGGCAATTCCAGGGGCGAGCAGCTGCCTTCACATCCCGATGCTGCCTGTGCACACGTGGCTGCCCCAGAGCTCAGGCTCCATGTGTCTCCATGTGCAGGTTCAGTTCCGTGCAGGGCTGGCTGACTCCAAGCATGAGTTCTCCGAGGCAGGAATGTCCTGACAGAAGGGTGAGGGGAGATGGCTCACTGCACAGAGGTCAGGGAGGAGGGGATGAGAGAGCCAGGTAAGAGGGAGCTGGGGACCAGATCCAGTTCCTAAGGTCAGGGCCCAACCGCTGAGCCTAGCCTCCTGCATTCCCCTCATCTCTCAACCATGCTGTCAGGTTTCAGACTCATCCGTGGACACCTAGGGACGAAGTCAGAGCCCTGAGGTCCAGGCTCCTTCTGAGTGCCCCACCCCTGGACATGAAGATGGCAAGGTCAGTGTTCAGACCTAACCCTAACAAGGGATAGAGCGCATCTCAGGGTATCCGCACACAGTCGGTTCCCGCCAGACACAAACATGTGATATGTCATGGGAGCATCAGAGGAAAACTAAGGAAAGGTTTGGGAACAGCTGAAGTTAAGTGCCTAGAGAAGAAGTCCTGGGCAAGGACCAATCAGGACTGCTCACTCGCATCCCGTGTCAGTCGCCGGAACACCAAATAGGGATCGCTGGAGGGCCGGCAGGAGAAGTTGGTCGCTCTCTGGGTGCAGTTTCGCGATGCTCGGGTCAGAGTTTTGGGAAGCAAAGGTGCGATTCGCTGCGAAACCTTTCCCGTGCCCAGCTCTGGGGAGGCTCCAGGGTAACCAGGGTGGCCGGGCCGCAGTCCGGCGCCCCTCCCAGGGCGGACCCTGCCATCGCGCTCCCTCTGGACGGGTGCGGCCGGTTCCGTAAGCGACTGTCACCGCCAGCGCCTGGGGCGGGGCCGCAGGAAATGGGGCGCTGCCGCGAGGCCGGGGCGGGGCGCGCGCGGAGGCAGAAGCGCAGCGCGGGGCAGCCAGGTGGCCGCGATGTCCCCGCCGCCGCCACCGCTGCTGCTGCTGCTGCTGCTGCTCGCGCCCCGCGTGGCCCCCGCGCCGCTGGAGGTGGACACCGCGCGGCCGCTGCGCTCCGTGAGCCCCGCCTTCTTGTCCTTCACCATCGACGCCAACCTGGCCACCAACCCGCGCTTCCTCGCCTTCCTGGGGTAAGCGCCGGCCTTCTGGCTGCCCTGTTCTGGCCCGCGTCCCCGGCCGCATCCTGACCCCGCGCCCTCCTCTGCAGCGCGGGTACTTTCCTGCTTGCCTGGCCCGAGCAGCCCCGGGGCGGGGGCTTGGGGTTTGCTGCGGACACGTCGCCGGTGCAGCAAAGACGCGGGGGTCCAAATGTCCACCTTTAAACCGTAGGATGATTTGGGGAAAGAATCAATGGGAAAGGTGTCAGAGCAGAGTAAGTGTAATTTCCTGCATTCTCCCAGGCAGGAATCTAAGTATCAGCTAAGTGAGACCCGGAGCCCACAGCGGTGCCTCACAGAGCCCCAGGAAAACGCCGTCCCCCCTTAAAGTGGGGTCTGCCAAGTGCCGCCCCAGTTCATCAGCGCGTGGCGGGTTTGTGGCTCCCGCCATCCCGGAGACTGACCCCACCGAGGAGCTGCAGGGCCGGCACGAGGTCCCCCAGGCCCGGAGCCCCCAAGGAGGACCGCACCTGCGCGGCCACTGTCTGCTGCCATGGCGGGCACCGTGCCCACTCACAGGCCCGGGGCGTCGGACCCTGCGCCCCGCCCATCTGTGTGCAGTGGGCCTGAGCCAGGGTTTTACAGGTTGCTGGGCCACCTCCCGCAGAGTGACCTCCTGGACCTGCCTTTGGGTGCTGATGAGGAATCGGTGTCGTCCTAAGTGCTTGCATGGTGATGATCCAGTGCTGAGAGTTTAGCCTATTTTTTCCTGGGAAATGGTGAATGTTTGGTACTATTTACTATTTTTCTGTGTCTTTGGATCATCCCTTCCCTGTGGCAGGAGAGAAGTTTCCTGCTGTGAGGGAGGTGCCTCTGCCTCCCTGTAGGGGTAGGAGCAGGAAGCCCACCTAGTGGTGGTTGGAGGTCAGAGGGAGACTGGGTCTGGAGGGACCCAGGCGTTGGGGGAGGGTTGCCTTCCTGAAACTGGGAATGAAGTAGATGTCCATCAACTGAAATTCGAGGACCCAGGTCCTCCACCTACAGGCAGTCAGTGTAGACCTCTGACCCAGGAGGGAGAGGCACCTCCAGGCCGCATCGCTCCGCCACCCCAGTGAACTTGCACTCCCACCCTGACACACAGATCTTCCAGCCCACGGGACAGGAGGACTATGCCTTTAGGCCTCCTAACATGTGTGCTGACATCCGGCACTGTCCTTCCTTTGCATCTGCCTGCTTGTAGAGGACCAGAGCACCTGGAGGAGCCCAGACACCTCGGCAGGCAGTAGACTAGTGTCTCTTGGTTTTTTGTTTGTTGTCTGTTCTGCTTTTCCTTTTAGTTTACTGCTTCTGCAGGCTTCTCTCCAGGGCTGCCCCCTGGCCATCTGCAGTCCCTTCTCCTGGACCACCATCCTCCACACTTGCTCCCCAGGCCCCTGCTCTCAGCTAAGACAGAAGAGGCAGGAACTCCTTCTCCTGACTTTGTTGCAAAATCAGTACCAAAATCCATCTTTGGGGGGGGGGGGACAGCGCAGTGTGGGGTGGCCCAGTCATCTCAGGAGGCTACACTAAGCTTCATGTCTGTGTACCACAGAGGAAAGTGAGACAGGGTCACCTCAGGTCCCCAAAAGCGAAGGTGCATGGATTGGGATGCCCCACACTGGAGGTGAGGACCAAACAACAGCAGTGTTCCTGGGCCTGTGTCTCTTGCCAGCCCTGGCCACAGCTCCTCCTGGGTGTGGTTGCGCTCAGTCCCAGCTACGGCCCCCGCGGACTCCTGTGGACCTGTTATCATTCATACTGTAAAAGCAGAGAAACCACAGGGAGACTAAATAACTTGGCTATGGTCAGCAGACAGAGAATGAAAACTGAGTCTAGAACCCAACTCTGATCCCAGAGACGCTGTTAGGAAAGCAAAGCGGATTTACTTTTAAATGGAAGTTAGACAAGAGACTGAGCAAAAAGATCACGTGGAGACAACGCAGGTGATAGATGGATCAAAGGAAGCCTTGTGCAAGGTGGGAGGATCAGAGCTCAGTCTTCGGAGGTACTGGACAAGAAGAGAATTGGGACAGATGGCTGGAGAACAGAGAGTATACACACTTAAATCCCACAGTCGAACAGTTCAGAATGGAAGAAGAGCATCTTTTTATTTTCTCTTCCCAAAGCGGGTCTTAATTCACAACTCATCAAACTGCTTCCTCCGCTTGACTTTGTGCAGAACCCCAAGAGGCCCTGGCCCTAGAAATGTAAAGCCAGGTAGGGTATAATGTGTACCACGTGTGCTAGGCACATCTGTAATTTCAAGTTTCCAAGTATCCACATTTAAAAAGGTATAAAGAAATGGTTGAAATGTTTTAATAATTTTATCTAGCTCAGTAGATCCAAACTATTAGCATTTCAATGTGTAAATAACATAAACATCTCATGAAATGTTCGGTATTTCTTCTTTCAGTCCTGGTGTTTGGCTGCCTAGGCACAGACTACAGTTCGGGAGCTTGGTGCCTTCGTGTAGCTGGTGGCTGCTGTTCTAGGGAGCGCACCGATGCTTACACACACACACACACACACACACACACACACACACACACACACATACACGTGCACGCGCCTCCTTGTGCAAGGCCAGGCGTGGAGCGCAGCCCGGGTGTGCAAACCTTGGCACGCCAGGGGGCAGCGGTGCTGCACAGCACTAGTGTTAGGGGTGTAGTCCCACTTGCTTTTCATGCTGATTTGCTCAATTTCTTTAGCAAAGTTTATCTCTTTTGTCAACTTGATAAATATTAATTAGAAATCTACAGCAATTAGATTCAGCTACCTTCATTGGACAAATAGCTCTTCGCGTTTGGAAAAGTGTTTATTATCAATGTGAAGAGTGCATTTTCATAACTGATTTGGAAAGAGCAACGGATCCTCCATACTCCTCCTGCTAGCAGAAACAGTGATGGGCACAGAGAGACCTAGGGCTGGGAACAATCCCGGGTCTGCTGAGCTCTTGATATTCCGAGCCTTCCTCTGCACTCCCAGGCCTGGGCGTGGTGACCCTGCCCTGTCCTCTGTGCTGACACAGGGCACATCTCTGAGGGCCCCCTTTTCCCTTGCCACTCTTTGAGTACAGGCTCACACTCTGCCCAGTTTCGGTCCTTTTCCTGATCTCAAGGGCAGCTTTGGAACGCCAGCCACTCATCTGAATGCAGACTGCTGCAGTTGAGGTCTCTGACTCGTTTCCGGGTTCGCTCAGCTGCGTTTTGTCCAGGTTCCTTGTGTGTAAAGTGAGGATCATAACAACACTGATGAAACCCTCCATGGGGACTCTGGTGATGCTTTTAGAGGGGGTCACCCTAACTCTACCATGAGGGTCTCATCCGACACTCCTCGTCAGCACTCTGCATTCCCCTCCTACTTCTCCTGTCCCACCATCCACATCCCTCCATCATCCAGAATGACTTCAGATCCGCTCTCTGTTTCTTCCTCCATACCTTAGTTGATAACCTCTCCTAGGCTTGCGATGGAGCCGGCTTGCACGAGCTTTGGGAGATGAGTGCATTTCTTCTCCTGCATCGAGGGCACCACACTGTTGTCTTGAAGCCGGTCACAGTGGAGCATTTGCACTTGTGGAAGCTGGTGACTGCACACAGGACCTGCCTCCGGGAGCTGGCTGCAGCACACTGCCACGCTGAGTTCTGCACGTCTCCCCACCCCCGCGTCTATAGAAGCCTTTTCACTTCTGAAATTTATATCCAGGCCACCCACTCCGAAACCACAGCTCTTGTCCTCAGTTCCCCATGCTGAGAGTAAGCTCTCACACTGCTTTTTAAAGTGCGACCACTGAAGCTTCGCCTCACTCTGCTGCTTCCTATCTGACTTGGCCTCTTGATTTATCGCCCAAACCCCTCTTGTGAGAGTAACTGCAAGCCCCTGCCCCATTGTTTCTCCTGCTAAAATCCTGGCCCAGCCTTAGGCCAACTGTAATTCGTCCTTTTGGAACCCACAGGGTGGCCCCCAAACCCAGAAATGGAAAACACTACTTCATAGTTAGTGCATTTAAGTAACCCCCTGTGCTTTCTGTGTCAATGGTAACTGAGCACATGGGGTGAAGTGAAGACTCTCCAGACTCTTGGTCCCCCGAGCCCCGTCCAGAGCAGCAAAGGCTGCAGTGCTGTCCCACGGTCCTGTGTTGTTTCCACGTCACTGTGGTGCTGGGTACATTTCCCTGCCTTTTTCCTCTGTCTGATTGAAATGCTGTATCTCTGATCAGTTTCTCTTTTATGGCAAGTTTTGCAGCTGTGTTAAACCGAGTTTTTGTCAGGAGGCATCAATATTGTATTCTCAAGACATGAAAATATTTCACTGCAAAAGAGAGAAACAAAAAGGTCCTTTATATCAAACCTTTGAGGCATGTGATTTCTTTTGTGTGGAAAAAACCGTAACACTGGGTTTTGATTCAGTGTTAGCCACAAACAGGGTTCGGCCTCTCCATCCCTTTCCTCCTGCAGTCCTCGGGGTTTTCCCTTCAGGGTGTTTACTGAGCACCAGCTGTGAGCTGGCCCTGGGTTAGGAGCCACAGGACAGAGGGTGACAGTGGCAGATGATGCACAAGTGTAAGGCAGGGGCATGAGGTGGGGAGTGTCCCAGGTGGTCCAGTCTGCACCTCACGGAGCAGACACCGGTCCTTGGGTGTCAACCCAGGCTGCCTTTGGAGGCCACAGCTCCTTTCCCAGTCTCTGGTTTTCTCTCCACTTCCCAAAGAGCACCAAACTCTTTGCCGACTGTCACCTGCTCCCAGACACAAGCTGTACAGACTTGAGCGCATCTCCTCTGTCGTGTGTCATGTCCAGCTGCTAAGGACCAGAATGGAAGCCTGGCCAACATGATCAATCCTCTGGGAAGTTCCTCGTGCCAGCTCCAGGGAGTCAGGGGCTGTCATCACTGGCCTCACCAGCATCTGAGGACTGATGTCTTCACCCAGGCCTAGATGGGTCTCCTGAGTGCTGGATGCACATGGCCAAGGGCTGGTGGGAGTTCAGTGTCAGTATCCCATTGGCGTCTCAAATTCTACAAAACCAAACCCCTGCGCCCCTTCCTCCTCCATCTCCGTCTCCATTCTACACCAGTACCTCACCTCAGCAGGTGCTGTTCCCACTTCCAAGGTGTCTCCCGAGGGCACCTCAGCTCTCCCTCTGCTTCCAGCCAAGGACTGGACCTGCTCTTCCCATGCATAAATATGTCTTGAACTTATCCACCTCTCCCCATGGTCCTCAGGGTAGGAAATAGGTCCTCTGAGAGAAAAGAAAGTAAAAATGCTTGGCAGAATTGCCTTGGAAAAATGATGCAAGTTCCTTGCTTGTGTGTTAACAGTTCTCCCAGGCTGCGGACTTTGGCCAGAGGCTTGGCTCCTGCATACCTGAGATTCGGTGGCACCAAGACAGACTTTCTAATTTTTGACCCTAAGAAAGAACCAACCTTTGAAGAGAGGAGTTGCCGGCGATCTCGAGTCAACCAAGGTGAAACTTTTTAAAGATTATATATTTTTATTAACTTGTGTACCTCCTGAGAGTACCTCAGAAATGTGTTATTGTTCATGCCTAACAATATTAAGGCTTCGCTCTGTTGGCAAGCTTCTCCTGATGCTTCCCGCCCAGACAAGGTGTGCTGGGTGGAACCCAGAGCTGACCTTGCTGTGAACAGAGTAGGGTCACAGCCTAGGCAGAGCTGGTGGGGCAAGCGAGTGGGCAGAAAGACCTCAGGCTCAGGAGTCTTTCCCGCCATGCACAGGAGGGGAGCACTTATATTGGAGAGACAGGATGTGGGTAAGGTCTCACGATGGGGTATGGGTCACTCTGCTTCTAAGAGCTGTCCTGAGACTCAATGGCCTGGAAGATGTTTCTCAGACTTTACTGCTGCTCCCTGAAACCTGGGGACAGTTTGACTGTTTGGTTCCCTGGGCTCCATCCAACCTCACATTCTGTGTCAGCAGGCTTATCTGGTGATGCTGATACTGCAGCTCTGGCCCTCTTGAGGATTTACCCCAGGGAGCCAGGAAGATAGGTCCTGGATCTTTCCAGGGTGTGCTACAGGACCTCAGATGGACATCAACTCACGCTCTGAACAGTTACTAAGGGTGTTTGTTGCGTACTTCACTAAATTATAACAGCCACCTTAATGAGTGGTGTCTAATTACTACATAGTCATGTATCTTCTGTTGATTTCCTTCAGGCAGGATACATTTAACAGTTAATCAAATATTGGGCCAAAATTGGCAGAGAAGGCCACAGAAAAAAATAGAAAAAGCTCAAAGGCTTGTCTTTGACTAAGTCTGCGTGGACCGGGTTCTTCCCGTCAGCAGCGTTCCCAGGATTCCACAGTTCAGATACGAGACCGAGCCTGTCCCACAGCTATCCTCCTTGTCCTCCAACTTCCTGTGAGCCACTGGGCGCAGCCTCCCAGAGAGGGAGTCATCAGCCACTGGCCTGGTCCCACTGTCTTGGGATGAGGAAATCTGGGCTGCCAGGCGGAGGCCGGTGGTTTCCCAGGGCGTGTGTTTGACAGTACCAAGTTGAGAGGGAGAATAGCCAGTAACCAACTGCAGAGGCGTGCTCATGGGAGGCTGAGCGGAGGATTTTGAGTGGTAGGTCAGGCTGAAGTACATAGCAAGGCCTTATCTCATCAAAACAAGACAAGACAAGGCAACCAATGAACTGGATGTGGTAGGGTTTGTGTATAATTGCAGTACTCAAAGAGGCTGAGGCAGGAGGATTGCAATTTTGAGCCCAGCCTAGGCAACTTAGTGACAGTGAGACCCTGTTTCAAAATGGTAGATAAATAAACAGGACTGAGGGTATAGCTCAGAGCTAAGGTCCTGGGATTGACCCCCAGGACCACCAAGAACGCTGTGTCCTAACTTGTTACAGCAAAAGGAAATCCCACTACACACATAGCCTCTGCATAGCCAATGCCTACATCATTGGAAAGTGAATCTTACCAGAACTGAACTATGTTCTTCACTAGGTTCTTGGTGATTTCAAACCTGCCAGGAGCCTTTCAATTGTTAAATAACCTGAAGTCCTGTCTGATGTTCGGTGTTCAGTGGATGTTTAATGTTTTTTTGAAACCTGTCCTTTGGCTTTGTCGTGTGGTTAGTCAGCAAATGTGGCACTTGCTGGCACACCTGACAATTAGCAGCTTTTGCTTCATTGATAAAATGTCTAACCAAACACACATGCAGGATTCCACCCTTATGCCTGAGGAAATAGATGGTCTAAGTTCTCTCTTCCACTTGCAGGGTTTTGTGAATCCAGATCGCTCCCTTCCAAGGTGGAGAAGAGGCTGCACTTGGAGTGGCCTTTCCAGGAGACGCTGCTGCTCCGGGAACAGTACCAGAAGTTTAACACGACCACCTACTCAAGTAGGAACCCGTCCCTGGCAGGTCTTCCTGCCCACACACTCTGTGTGGATGGACTTCGGCTTGGATGTGTTATGTCCGACCTCTGTCCTGGAAACTTAAACAATATTAAAATGTGACCAAGAGTTACGGGGTGGGGCTGGGGTTCAGCATTGTGGCAGCATCCTTGAGGTGCAGGGTTCAAAAACCAGCATCAAAAAAGAAGTTAATGGGAAATCTTGAGTTAATGGGAAATTCTGGTTTTTCCCTATCATCTGACGTTACCAGCTTGTCCCAGAGTGAGATATAGAAGTCCATTGCTGGTGAGTTAGTAATGACCTTTATTGGTCTCAGGTGCTAGGGGATCAAGGAAAACATGAACATGTTCCTCCTGAAAAGTAAAATGTGCAGGTAGCATGGGAAGCCTTTGACCTCTGGTTTGAAATTTTCCATTTTAATCTGCATGTCATGGAGTGTAGTTAGATATCTACAGGGCTTAGTCCGGGCCTGGTCATCCTAGTGACAAATACTGTAGAAGCCAGTGGGTATGTCCACCCATTGGCTGGGGTTGATGATGGCTGAGTGACCAAGGGTTGTCACAGACTGGAGGAGACAGCAAAAATCTGGTGTGGTCAGGGTGTGTTGATTATAGCCGTGAAGTGTGCCCTGCGCAGGGCTGGTCCTCTGGGGTGGCCTCCTGTACCCCAGCGGGAGATGACAAAGCCTCGGTCACCAGAAGGCAGACTCCACCGTGAACCTGTTTGGCAGGAAAGAGAACAGTGGTGGGCTATAACTGGGTGTGACTGCAGAAGGAGGAGGAGGACGCCCTCGTGACAGTAATGGTGTTTAAGGAGCTGGCACTTGGTTCGCCCTCTCTCTGTCACTCGATTCTACACCCAACACCCAGGCCCAGGTGCTGGGACAGTTTCCGGGGTTGGGGTGGGGTGCACAGGGGCGTCAGCTCTACTCCTGTGGTCAGCTCGGTTATCCACGTCCCGAGGGGCTCTCTGTGCCCCATGTAGTAAGATAGGGAGCTGAAAACTAGGGACAAGGTAATTATCGGTGCGTTTGCTTGCTGCTCTGCTGTGGGGAAGGTTTTCTCTCTCTGTGTGTGTGGTTTTCTCTCTCTGATTTTTCCTTTTGTCGGTAGGTTTTGTGGTGCACAGTGATCACACATGTGGGGAGGTGACGCGAGCACAAGACACTTCTTCCCTCTCTTTACTTCCCTCCGTCCAGCCGCCTCTTTAAGTGGGGTTGGACTCGGCAGTATTATACAGCCTTGATTCTGAGAGACGTCAGTGTAAGTTGTCTTAGACAGGAGTGGTAACAGAATCTCAAGCTGCATAAATTCCAAGCGCCTTGAGAAAAAGGAAGAAACAGGAAGAGTAAAGTATGAGTTGAGTAAACTCTAACATGCAAGACTTCTAGGCTTTTTGAACATGTAAGGGGGTGAGGAGATAACAAGGCTTTATGTCTTTTTTTTAATGGTTTACTGGCAGTTTCACCCATGTTATCTAAACTTTGGTGTCATGGAATAGGGACGAGGCGGGAGTGTAGGTCCACAGCTGGGGGTCCTGTGGGACAAAGATATTTTAAAAGCATTTTTGTGCTGAGGATATAGTTCAGTGGCACAACACCTATCTGGCAAGTGCAAGGTTGTGAGTTTAATTCCTGGTGCAAAAAAAATGTATTTTTATTAGTACATGTTAGAATTTTGGGTGTTTTGCTTTGTTTTGTTTTGACACAGGGTTGCACTATGTATCCCAGACTGGCCTTAAATTTACAGCAGTCCTCCTGCCTCAGCCGCAGACCTCAGGGGTTCGCCACCACACCCAGCTGTTAGCACACCTTTGCGTACATAGTGATCACCTTTGTCATGAGGCGTCCGTAGATGGACGTGACACATTTCATTCTTTCTTTGTCTCCTACCCCCCCTACCCTTCCTTTCTCCTTCCAACCCTTGGCCCCCTTCCCGTTCACAAAAGCTCTATTTCTGCTTATTTCTTTCAGTTCTATTTTTCCGTCTTCTTTCCCTCCCCTCTGTCTCTTGTTCCCCTTCCCATTTGTAAAACATCACCCCACTTCCATTGTCTTTTATTTTGCTGTTCATATTTTGGTCTTCTGGTATAAGAAGCCGAGCCATGTTTAAGCATGTGCGTCTGGGTGGTTTCACAGCCTTACAGGTGAAAACATTGCTCCAGCAATCAGTAAGTGGGAGAGCTGGACGGGGGCTCAGGGCTCACAAGTCCAGCCGTGGTGCTGGCCTCTGTAACTGACAGCACCTGAGCGAGTTCACTCACACAGAGCAGAGGTTGGTTTTGGTTCTGGCTGCAGAAGTTCTGGTCAGGGATCCAGGGACACATTTTTGTCCACCCCGCATGGAGGGTGCTGGGTGGCAATGCAGGAAGTGTGGCTCAGCAAAACTGCCCACCTAATGGCTGGGAGTATGAGAGAAGGAGGCCCCAGGGCCTGCAGTCTCCTTCAAGGTGACCTTGAGACTTCCAGTCAGGCCCTGCATAGGGACCCCATCACCTCCCATAACACAGCCTGGGCACCAGACTGTCATAGCATGGGCCTTCAGAGGGGCCACTTAGGGTCCAGACTGTGGCTCAGTCCAGGGCACAGCATGGCTTTGTGGTGCCGCAAGTCGCCTGGTGACAGGCTCCACAGATGGTGCTGCCGCCCAAGAACTGCCCGGCTTTGGTGCAGCATTGGCCTTATTTGCACCTCCGCTTCCTCATGGGCAGAAGCGAAGGCCTCTGCCATCCCCCACTGTGACTCTGCGGTCCAGCAGAACCCAGGGGCACAGGGTTCTGAAAAGCCGCAGCAGGTCTCAGGCAGCAGGGGCCCCGGCAAACACCTCAGCACCTGCTGCAGCCCCTTACCAGGCCCTGCGGTCGCCCAAGGAATGCAAGCTGCAGACTCAACAAAAAAGCACAGCCAGGTTGAGAGAGGAGTGACAGAGGTTGCCCTGCAGGCAGAGGTTTCCCTAAACTAAGAATTCAGAGCAAATTTCTGTTCAACAAATGACTCTAAAATATCTGTGCACATCCTAAGGACATACTATGTGTATCATAGCTGATCTAAACGTGATACTTAGAATTGCATTTTTGCTACTGTCAAAAAATAATCATAAACAAGCTAATGGTCTGAAAGGGCTGGGGATTTAGCTCAGCGGCATAAGCACCTGCTTTGCAAAACACATGGTCATGAGTTTGATTCCTGGTACCAATAAATAAATAAATAAATAAATAAATGAAAGGAGAGTACAGAGCTCCCCAGGCTCTTACAGCACTTAGTGTCTCTGTAATTCTTTATTTTTACACCATTCTTAAGCTATAAGAAATACCTGAGTTTCAGTGTTAAAGTGCTGGGTCAAAAGAAGCTGATAGCAGTGGTTTTTGTTATGTCCAGCAGGTGTTTTTCCCTTGTAAACTTAGATTTTTAGTACCCTATTTGGTTTGTCTGTTTGTTTGTTTATATATATATATATTTTTGAGACAGGTTATCACTCTGTAGCCCAGGCTGGCTTCCAGCTCTCGGCCACACTCCTGCCTCAGCCTCCTGAGTGCTGAGATCACACTCATGCTTGCCATGCCTGGCAGTGCCCTGTGAGACAGAGACCTAGTTAGATTTCAATTTCAGATAGATGACAATAATTTGCTTCTTTTTTAGCAGTGTTTTTCAGCCCTTGCATAGAACATACACAAAAACTGTTCATGATTTATCTGAAGTTCAGATTTAAATAGGTATCCTGTACCTTTATTGCTAAATCCAGCAGCCACACCTGAGAATTCACTGTGGTTTTGAAGGGTGGCTTGGCACGTAGACACGTCCCTACAGCCTAGAGACAGTTCTTTAATTGTATTTATTTTAAATAAATCATATCTAGGACTCTTAAGTGGCTTTGAATATAATTAGAATTACCCAAATGTTTTGTCATTGAGTTGTAAGTAGACATATTTAGGTTATGAAAAGTGGCCTATGGCTGCTACTGACAGGTTGGCCTAGTCATACGTGGTTCCCCTTTATCTATGATCAGAATGGGTTGGGTTAGAACAAAACCCAAATGTTGAACCAGAGTTTCTGGAACCTTCCAGGAGACATCCAACAGCTAAAATGATAAAGTCAGATGGATTTTTTTTCTTTAACTTACCTGCCCAATTTTGTTGTCATTTAACATGCTTATGCTCACTCATTAGACCTGGAATTCCTGTGATTTAACCACAGAAATAGGAACTCACCGTGAAAAGCCAGTCCAGGGCCATGCCTCGCTGGTGCTCACCTGACACTGATGTGGTGTGTTTTCTACAGGAAGCTCCGTGGATATGCTGTACTCATTTGCAAAGTGCTCAGGACTGCACCTCATCTTCGGTCTGAATGAGTTGCTACGAACAGCGGATTCACAGTGGGACAGTTCTAATGCCCAGCTGCTCCTGGACTACTGTTCTTCCAAAGGCTATGACATTTCTTGGGAACTAGGCAATGGTAGGTGCCCAGACACATTTTGTTAGTAAGGAGACTTCCTGCCCGCATTATTTGTTCCTACTTGTGGGTTTATTTTTTTAAATATACTTCAGGGACACATCATTGCAAGTGCTCAAAGGCACAGCTTTTGGAGCTGCTTATGGGAGAAGCACCTTAGTACATTGTGGGACCATTGTGGGACCAGTTTAAGTTATACTGAATTGAAGGAAACTGTTGCACAATACCTAGGCTACAAGAAATAGCCTCAGAGTCAGTTTCACCTGTGATGCTTGGCAAGCTGGCCTCAGCCAGGGCAAACCTTTCCTTTCCCTGTTTCTCAACCTCAGACAATTCAGTCTCAGCAACCCCATCTCAACCTTCCTTATATGCTCGAGCTATCCAGAAGGTGCCGATGTGAAATCCTGCCTGAATCAAACTCTGAGCGTCTCTGTCCTCAGTCTTTGCTGGCAAGATACTTACTTATAAATTCTAACTAATGTATTAGTGATTTTCCATATTTGAAAAATTTTTATAGTACTGTATCAGCCAGGGAAACAATGTACAATGGAAAATGAGCTGTAGTAACAGGATTAGCACATGCTACATGCCAGCATGCTGTTCCCAGCGTTCAATACCTTGACTCTACTCAACCTTTAAAAAAAGTAAACTAGATTATTAAATGTAACCAAGTATGATGGCACACACTTGTATTCCCAGAACTCCAGGAGGCGGAGGCAGGAGGATCACAAGTTTGAGCTCGGCCTGGACATCTTAGCTATTTAGCAAGACTGTGTCTAAAGTGAAAAAAGCCTGGAGGTGCAGCCTTATCTCAAAATCAACTGGGGATAAAACTCAGTGTTGGCACCCTGGGTTCAACTGCACGCACTGCAAACAAAACTGAATGTAGACTAGTTCTAAAATATATGCTGGCTTAATATCCCCATTATTAACTTCAAATTTTTTAAAGCCTTCTCCGCTCCAGTTATATAATTAAAATTTTTATTTTTCTGGAATATCTTTTTTGTAACCAAGGGTTTGACCTTTCTTCACTTTGAGTTCCGTGATTTCGTAATTTGGAGAATGTTTCATGTGTTTAAGTACCACAGTCTGTTTGCTTTTATATTTTAAAAAAAGCTAGGTAAATGATTAGGATGAGAATTGCTGTCTTTCAGAACCTAACAATTTTCGGAAGAAGGCTGGTATCTTCATCGATGGATGGCAGTTAGGAAAAGATTTTGTTGCATTGCATAAACTTCTACAGAATTCCACTTTCAAAAATGCAAAACTCTATGGTCCTGACATTAGTCAGCCTCGAGGAAAGTCAGTGAAGATGCTGCAGAGGTAAGAATTAGAGACAGCAGGACTAGTTTTTCTTCTTTTCTTTCTTCCTTCCTTTGGGATGCTGGTGAGGGTATCACTATGTGGTTCAGGCTGGTCTTGACCTCGTCAAGATCCTCCTGCCTCAGCTTCCGAAGTGCTGGGATTACAAGTTTGCCACCACCCTAGCACAGCCGTTTTTCTTAAAGAAAATGTTCCTGTCTGGTGGAGACCCCACAATAGCCCACATGTTAAAAAGTGCTGGCCACCTGGCTACATGGCTCGCCACGGCAGATTCACGGGCTCAGAGGCCCAGGGTTACAGGAACAGATGGGCACTGATAATGAAATCTATTATCAGAATTAGGAAGTCTGGGTGTGACCCTGATGTAGTAACCTATTCCTTCTGGGGAACCAAACTCTGGAGCGACTGTCGTGCATGTGTGGGAGGACCACGCAGTAACATGATGGCATTCCCATTCCAGCTTCCTGCAGACTGCTGGAGAGGTGATAGATTCAATTACATGGCACCAGTAAGTGCTTCTTGTTCTTTCTATGAGGAAAAAGGGGCTAAGTTTATTCATCACCAGCTCAAAAAATTGCTTCCACTCAGCAGCTAATGGGCTTTCGTAGTCCAAACAAGAAACAAAATATTTCAAGCAGCATTGTGCTAGAATTTTAATACTAATAAAATAAAAATTTAGTGTTAATTTCAAGTAAGGTGGTATTTTCTATAAAGATCGGAGCCCACTATGACCAGTTGACTCATGACCAATTGCTTGTCAGGGTGGCAGCAGCCCAGGAGTCCTGGCCAGTCTCCAGTTATTTGGAGAAGTATTTCCCTCCCTTGTCCCTTCCCTTTGGTGCCTCCCTGGGAGAACTTAAGCCCTTTTGTTCTACAATGGAAAGGAGAGGAGAGAAGCAGGAAGGAAAACAAGGTTGAAACTGAATTAAAAAGAAACCTGTTTCTTTTTCCTGGATATTTTCTAATTTAGCTACTATTTGAATGGCCACATTGCTACAAAAGAAGATTTTCTCAACCCTGAAGTGCTGGACACTTTCATTGTATCAGTGCAAAAAGTTTTACAGGTAATAGTCATTAAAAACTTCTCATTAAACCCGGAGTCCTTATTTTCTCTAAGTTCTATAGCTGTGTCCATTGGCGTGTTTTCCTAATTTTAGAGATCAAGCTCTGTCTTCTTCACCCTTAATTTCTTTCAGCATTGGCCCTAAATACCACGAATCTTTAGCACTGTGATCTGTCAGCTTCTTTGCGGTCACCATGGCAACCTTTCTGTTCCCAGGTGGTGGAGGAAACCAGGCCAGGCAAGAAGGTCTGGCTGGGAGAGACGAGCTCTGCATACGGGGGCGGGGCGCCCCTGCTGTCCGATACCTTTGCAGCTGGCTTCATGTGAGTGGACCCCACAGGCTCAGAGGTTCCTTCCATCAGTGCCAAAAACGAGGTCAAAGGCAGTTTTTGTGACAATCTCCCCAAATCGGACCAAGATTTGCCAGAAAATGGTTGGTAAACTTGTTGGACACTATTATCCCGTGAATCACTCGGATAATCAGCCAGTTGAGACGTGTCCGGTCTTAATGACAGCCCAAAGCATGCCGCAGTCTTTCCTGTAATGGAAGTTCATTGTAAAGAAGGCACCTAACTCTGGGCTCTGAGATGCTTGCTCTATGCACCTGCATTTTAGATTCCCAAGAAGATTGGAACCTCGAGTCTGAGGTCCCACCAGGGACTCAGACTTCCCAAAACATAAACATCTACTGAGTCACGTCAGTGTGTCTTGGTCTAGAGATCCCTATCACCACCCTGGGATTTTTGTTCCCTGTCCCTCCCATCCTTGTTCTTTCGTCCTCCACATCCTCGCAGACAACAATTTAGAATAAAGCCACAGACCTTTTATGCTCAGGAGGGTTGAGGAATGATGAGAACAGAGACACTCGTTTTGCCTTTAACTGAAGGGTTGGAGGGACGGTGGGGACAGAGGCTGGGGGAGCAGAGTGTCTGAAGCACCTTACTCAGGACCCCGCTGGCTTCGCGTCTGTGTCTTCTCTTTGGCCCCCTCCCAGGGTGTGTGTCTGCCTGGGCTGCAGGGTGAGAATTTGTCGTAGGGTGGAAGATAGTCTGCTGCTTCTTCGCTGTCATCGCAGCCTGAGTGGGACAGTCCTTGGCTGTTTTGCTGCATGGCTTAGCTGTGATTGAAGCCACGCTTCCACGATGTGCCGATGAGCAAGGCAGGGGAGTGTGTGGGGCATGGAGCGTTTGCATTTTTAAACCTAAATAAAGCCCGGTGTCGCTCTGTCCCAGGTGGCTGGATAAACTGGGCCTGTCAGCCCAGATGGGAATAGATGTGGTGATGAGACAGGTGCTCTTTGGTGCCGGAAACTACCACTTAGTGGATCAGAACTTCAACCCTTTACCTGTAAGTGACCTTTATTTTCTATTTCCACACATACGGGGACCTGGGATGCCCTGGGTCTAACCCCATGGACAGCCAGTCCTGCCACAAGTAGCCTGCCCTGAAGGATGAGCTGGAGACACCTAGCCTAAAATATTCATGTCTCAGGGGAAGAAATCCAAAGCCAGGAGCCATTCACTAAAACATGGGCCATTTGCAGAATAGTGTTGGTATTTTTCTTTTCTTCTTTTTCTTTTTTTTTTTTTTTTTTTTTTTTTTGTCTTTTTCCTTTTTATCGGTACCAGGGACTGAACCCATGACTGCCTGCTTGCAAGGCAGGCGCTTATGCCGCTGAGCTAAATTCACAGTCCCAGTGTTGGTATTTTTCAAAAAGGGGTAATTTTAAATTCTATGGCTCATTTTACAAAACAACAATCTTGAATCAAAAATGTTTTTGTGAAGTGAATTAAAGTTAAAATTGCTATTGTATCCAAAGCTACATTTTTATGTCATGAAATCATAATTTATTTAACTTTATAAAAAGCCAGTACCACCTGGGTGTGATGGCACACACCTGTAATCCTAGTACTTGGGAGACTGAAGCAGGAGGAGCACCATGAGTTCAAGGCCAGCCTGGGCTACATAGTAAGTTCAAGGCCAGCCTAAATTACACAGCAAGACCTTATCTCAAAAAACAAACATATAAGCCATTAGCTATTTATTTTTTTAAACTCACTCTAAAGAATTGATTTGCAAGTTAATAATATTCAAGACATTTATGAATAAAATTTCATTCTATCCAACCTCTAACAATACCTTGTACTAAATCAGAAAATATATTCTTTTACCCAAAGCTCCATCTTAAAAAATACGTAGTTTTAAAAATCAAGATGGAACCCGTAAAAAGTAAGACCTTGATTTTTATAGTATAAAATGGCATTTGAGGTTATTTGTTTTCAACAACAATTTTGACTATATTTTGTCATGTCTCATATTTCCTTAATCTAAAATATTGCTATTGTTATTTATTCAAATCAGAATTTAAAATTCATGTATTACACTTGGTTGTTAAATCTCTTCTATCTGTGGGGTGTGTGTGTGTGTGTGTGTATGTGTGTGTGTGTGTGTATGTGTGTGTGTGTGTGTGTGTTACAAAGAACTTCAGCAGAGCCTTCATACTGAGCTACGCCCCCATTCCCAGCCTTTTTTGGGGAGAAGAGGGGTAGTGTTTTCTAAGTCACTGCATTACCCAGGCTGAGCTTGTGATACTCCTGCCTCCGCCTCTAAGAGTGCTGGGAAAATCTGTTTAAACTCTCTCCCTTTTTTTTTTTTTTCTTTTTCATTTTTTATCAGTACCAGGGATCGATTGAACTCACAACCACGCACTTGCAAGGCAGGCGCTTATGCCACTGAGCTAAATCCCCAGCCCTTCTCCCTTCTTTTTTATTCTTTGTACTTTATTAATTAAAGAAACTAGATAATTTGTTCCCACGTTCTGGGTTTTGCTAAATTATTCCCATCATGTCATTTGATATATCCTCCTGTCACGCATGTTTCCGGGAAACTTGAGGCTTGAGCTTATTAAAAATTTTTAGTTTTGATAAGGATTCTTCACAAATGATGCTGTGTTCTTCTTCCAGGAAGTATGTAATGTCTGTCTCTTTTCTTGATCTTGATAGCTAGTGCTGATGATTGCCTACTCTACTACTTTATTAGGAGGACAAGAAGGTCTTAGAGGAAATGATTTGTTTCTTCAACAAACTTTATCTAAAATCTATGTCGTCGTGTGTGCGAGAGTCAGAGTTGTGTGTCTAAGTTCTCCTTTAAGCTCTGCTTTGGATTCTTGGATGAAAGAATCCAAGAATAGTTGAGCATGCTGAGGGCCGCATTCTGTATATATGCCTTCCTCTGGCCGTGGTCCTCTGAGGGATGGAAACAGAACCCTTCAGGCAGAGAGGAGTAGCAAACTCCTGCCCTCGAATTAAGGTGGTCACCAGCATCCATCAAAAATCCATTTAAACACCGGAAGAATAACAGTGACCCTGTTTGTAAGATTTCGGTGTCTTTTGTTGGTTTTGTTAAAATAAGAATAAGAAAATAAGCAACAATTTTCTTTTGTATCTCCTTCCCCAACCACCACACCAGGATTACTGGCTGTCTCTTCTGTTCAAGCAGCTGGTGGGCACCACCGTGTTCGCGGCGCACGTGGAAGGCCCTGAGCGTGCCAGGCTCCGTGTATACCTTCATTGCACCAACAGCAACCAGTGAGTGTGACACACCAGCACAGCTGGCACTCTTCAGTGCAGTGTGTCCACAGCTGTCTCAGCATTCTTCTTCCTGTTTTGTTTTGTTTTGGATTTGTGGCAATATGATACCAGAATCTAACTTAAAAAAAACAAAAACAAAAATACAAGCATGGCACTGGCAGTCCTGCTGAGAGTTAGGTGATGATTGTAATGGTCCTAACTTATAACGGAGCTATATCCTGAATTTTAGTAAGTAACAGTATAAGTAAAAGAACGCAAAATGATGTTTGCATGAACAGTTCATTCAAGGGTCATGCGTGAATATAAATGTAAGAATATGAGTAGTTATCTAATATACTTATCTCCTTGCATCATGCTGTGATAATTTTACTAAAGAAAAAAATAATCAAAAAGAGGCAAACAGGAACAACGGAAACCTTACTATCAAAAGTTGCACAGGTGGGGGCTGGAGACTCTGTACAGAGTTTGTTGCCGCCTCCTCTGGCTTTAGGTAGCAAACATTTTTCCTAAATCTCAGGGATTTTCTCTTTGGAGTTTCAATCTGTCATTCCCAAAACTAAAGTACTATTTCTAGCCTGAAAGGTCACCTAGAATTTCTGACTTCAGTGACTGACAACGATGAATAGGACTCTGCTCTGAAGTAGTAGGGGAATGGTTTGAAAAATATCAATGCGTTTACTTTTCTTCTTTCTTCTAAAGCTGAGAATAGCTCCTGTTTGTAGGATTTATAATTGGAATTCATGTGAGCCAGCAGAACTTTTCTTTTCCCATTTAACCTTCCTGTATATGAAAATGCGTGGTCTGATTGGCTTGCAGAAAATCCTGCCCAGTAAAGCAGCAAAGGTCTCAGCGCTCTGGCTCAGGAGAGGGCAGTGTGGAGAACAGTTTTTCAATGATATTTTCAAAATAAATTCACGCCAGTGGTCTCATATTGTCTTTAACAAGAAGGATTCAAATGGGTCCCCCATCATTATGGGTGCTAATCTGTAGTACCCTTTGCCCTATTTGTAATCGAGTTCTTGTTTCCTTAAATTCCAAGAAGTACTTTTACTGAGTTAACCTATTTTCTTTTAGTCCGAAGTATAAAGAAGGCGATCTGACGCTGTATGCCTTAAACCTCCATAACGTCACCAAGCGCCTGCAATTACCCTACCCCTTATTTAATAAAGAAGTGGATAAGTACCTTCTGAAACCTTCGGGCCCGGATGGATTACTGTCCAAGTGAGTGATTTGCCTTGTTCATTTCAAATTTGGAATAAATCTGTTGGTGTTTATCAGAATAAGGAGTTTGATAGGGAGTCAAAAAAAGGTATTTCAAGTTTTAGCGGTGTTTTTAATATTGAGGAAATTTGTGTAGGATAAAAGTAAAATTCAGAAGTCCAAAGCAGAAAGAGAGATGAACAAAAACTACCATCTTCAACAACAGTTCATATCCACTCCATGCACTGAGATGATTAGCTCTGAAAAGACTTAGTTCTCAGAACACAATCACTAAACCAAAATTTACCTTTATGTGATTACTTGGAACACATGGGCCGGTACAGCATATACGGCTATGTGAGCTGGGTGTGATTTTCTTATGGCATTTAAAGTGGGGTTTATACAGCTAGAGTGAAAAAGAAAAATGGCCAGAGCATTCTAGACAGATTATTTGAAGCTGGTCCTGAAATATTCTGGTTTTTAAGTTACCAGAAAATGCATTTCTAAAAGACACACCCAGTAGAGAACCAGAGTGTGGTGCACAAACATGGGAGGTTTCTGGTGGTCAGTGTGTTGCCCTTCACAGCAGCAGCTCTGCCGGGGGCTCTGAGCAGGAGGACACAGCGCTCCCCTTTTCCCATCTTGGCAAATGCAGTGTGTGCTGTTCTTGGTGGCAGTGGCCCATCCCCCACGGCAAGCATGATTCGCCCCAGGACTCTTCCTTATTTACTTTCTCTGGTGCCTTTTGCAAACTGTAAATGTGGTGTAATCATACAACACCTACTGGGAAAAGAGAGGGGCACACAGGTTTCCTCCAGGCCTTTCCTTAACAGTCTTTGTAGACATTTTTAATGGGCTACATGATTTAATAAACACCATGGTTTACTCAACTGTTCATATTCTTTTTTTTTTTTTTTTTTTTTTGGTACCAGGGATCAAACTCACGACCTTGCGCTTGCCAGGCAGGCACATATACCACTGAGTTAAATCCCTGGCCTAAACCATGTTTTTCCCTTTTATAAATAATGCATCTTTGAATAAGGATGTGTTTCTCCATTCACGTTCTGGTCCTTTCTGAAACTCACATGCTTCAGCCTGTTTGTGTCTGACGCTGATGAGGGGAAATTTTTCTGAAGGAATCGCACAGTGGCCTTGAGCTGGAAGAGTCTGCACAGCGAGTTGTGGCCCGGCTGCCCACCCCAGCCCACATGATGGTCCTCTCCAAGCCACTGCTCCTTGGCAAGGCCAGGAGCCTCTGCCGCACCGCTGCTCTCAACAGCTGAGCTTGCAGCCCTGGCGCACCCCAGCCAGGAGGCTCTGTAGGCCCCTTCTCTCCGCTGGGCGTGGGCTTTGAGCCCAGTGCAGCCTGAGGACCTGCGCCATTGCCAGCTTTTCTTCACAGTGGATCCTCTGGCTACCCTGGGCATGTTTTCTCTCTTTGCCAGGGTGGTTTGCTTTAGGTGGTCATCACTTTTTTTGTCTCTTCCTGCCCTTGTGGCCCTGACCTGTCCCGCTGATCTGGCACCTGTGACTTCTTGGGCCTCCTCCTCTTAGGACCACTCTCACACGCCACAGGGTGAGCGGGTTGGCTGCTCCCCAGGTGGGAGAGGCCCAGTTTCTTCAATGAACCTTGGGGCTGCATTTATCAGTCTTGCATTCTGATCACAGGTTCCCTGCTTTACAGTTGGGAGCCTGGTGAAGTTAGGGAAGATCCTTTATCCCCCAGCTCTTCTTTGATGAGTGTGTATTACTTCTGCTCTTCTCTCTTTATCTCTGTCAACGCTATCCCAGATAAGCTTGACAAATGCCTAGTCTGTGCACTTGTTCACAGTAATGACTCAGTTGTTCAGTTGAGCAACCTGTGTGTAGTACACGTGGAGATGTCTGAGTAATATGTAATAAATATTTAAGCAAATATAGTTCTACGCTTGATCTTAGCCAAAAGGCTGAGAAGCGATAAGAGCAAACACATTTCTCATGGAAAATCAGTATTTTCTATTTGTCTCTGATAAATTTCCCAGCAACCACAATTCTGCTAAATTCGTAGCTTACTGAAGCTTTATTTTATCTGAAACTTGACACAAATGACTTCTGCTTCTTTATCCTCCTGTTACAGTCTCCAAAATAAGAAATAAACTACCACTGTCAGATAAACCCCACCCTCCCTGCCAGCGTGGTGGGAGAGTGATCAACAGACTTTAGGCTGATGCCCACAGCAAAGTGCAGTGTCTTCAGTCTGTGAACAGTGGTCAAGGTCCTCTTGCCCAAAGCATCCTCCCCTTGACCAGCGTGGCACTGGTCCGCAGTCATCTAGTCTACTTCTGAACAGAGGCATCAGGGTGCAGCCCCAACACTCCAGGAGCTTGAGTTACAGCAGCTGAAGCCGAGCAGCAAACCAGTTACATGGAAACATTTCTCTTTTTTCTCAAACCCTTTTTGCAATATGAAACAGTACTCTTTTTTTTATTGTTAAAGACAGCAGATTAGTTAACATCAGAGCTACATTTATGTCACATATGTAGTATATGTACTCTTACTTGTCTAACAGTCCCATGCAGAGTAAGCCTATAAAAGTATTATGTATCATTATTGCTCAGATGATTACAGTAACCTGTTAAACAATAACAGTATACAATACTCATTCTGTATGTATGTACATATACCCTATTTCTATTTAAGAATGGAGATATTGTGTATATTTTTTCTTAAAATTTGATTCTGTTCCCATGGATATGCCCTAATATTTATTCATACCAGTTAGAGTTCACCTACTACCTAGTGTTAGAGGCTACACAGGCTGCCGTGGTAGGAGTTACTAGTTTATTTACTTAGTCCTGCTCTGTTATTTTGTCATTTCCTTGTAGCATGACTGTACGGTTTTCATTTTTTCACGAGCTCTCATCTCCTACCCTGACTGGGGACATGAAGAGGAAAGACTGGTTTCCATCGTCCCTGGGTCAAAGGCTCAGCTCCGAGTTCTGTCACCTAAGACACAGTGGCAACAAAGCCATGGCTGAGCTGCAGGCTGAGCGCACAGCGCTGGCGTTTGGGCCAACAACCACAGCACAGCAGCTTTCAGAGGGGGTCGGGAGGAAATGTCAGGACCATAATCAGGGGAACCATAAGCAAAATGGGCTTTGCAAACATTTCTAAAGTGATAGTAGTGTCTGTTCTGGTGTTTTTTTGTTTTTTTGTTTTTTTTTTTTTGACTCAGTTTTTGAATTCCAACAGTGAAATACACAGAAAACAACTATTTCTGTAGTTTAGCCAAACAACACTTTTTTTGTTTTGCTGTAGCAATCTGAATTCTACCAAAATATCTTAGTAATGAATATATACTTCTTGGTGGAGAAAAGCAAGTTAAATAGTTTATGAACAAATTTATAGGAGACATCAGAGACATCACTATCATTTTTACATTAAATTCAATAAGTTTACATTCTTTTTCATATAGATCTCATTTGTTTTATACAAAAACATTTTCAGTTGTTTTCCATCAAATAAAATTGCCATGCCTCCACAAGCTAGGTCACGATTTCCCTTTTTCTCCCTCAGAGATGGGTGTGTTGTTTCTGCCACGGGGCGACAGTAAATATTTCAGGCTTTGCAGGCCACGAGGTCTCTGTCCAACCACTCTCCTCCAGAGCAGTTCACAGGTCACCTCAGTCAAACACCACTGCACAGTACTTGTTGTGTAACACAAGTTGCCATAGACAAAATTTTTGCCATAGACAAAAGTGAAAAGATTTCACAACTTGTTAGGGTCGTGCACTTGCACAGCGTGGCTGACCCACGTTTGTCTTTCCTCTTTGCAGGTCTGTCCAACTCAATGGTCACACTCTGAGGATGGTGGATGACCAGACCCTGCCGGCTTTGACAGAAAAACCTCTCCACCCAGGAAGCTCACTGGGCTTGCCAGCTTTCTCATATGGGTTTTTTGTGATAAAAAATGTCAAAGTTGCTGCTTGTTTGAGAACCTGAAATGCATATATATTTCAAATACATTGATAAGATCAAAGCACAACTCGAGCTCCAGAAGCCAAACAGATCCACTACAGATGCAGCAGGGGGTGCTTCAGAGACACAGGGCGGCCCTCAGTGCTGGCCTAGGCAGAGCGGTGCTGGTGATGGTCACTAGTAATACCTCGTGGCAGGCGGATGCCTAGTATCTGCATGCACTGTTTTTAAGGATACGCAAAGTGTGTACAAACGCTCTCAGTATGGCCAGGAGACAAATACGTGGAGGACATAGTATTTACTTTAAGGAAGTGTTTACTGGTGTTATTTTTAGGAACTGTTGGTAGCTTGTCAGATTCTTTCCTTCATGTGTCATCTCCGTGGCTCCCACACAGAAATTTTATAGCCACAACCTTGAAATCGGTGGTGAAAGAGAAACTTTTTCTCTGCACCTTAACAGGAGCAAGATTCAGCCGCTGCTTCTCTTCCCCTGCTCCACTGGTCTTCATCAGTAGTAGTTTGAGAGTGGACAGCTGGTCCCATGTAACAGCATGGAAAGCTGGTGAAGACAGGTCAGAGGGAGGAACTGCGTAAACTTCAAGTCAAGGCTTTTAGCTGAGGGACTTGGCCTGAAGACAGGGACTATGGGGACTGGGGATTTAGCTCAGCGGCATAAGTGCCTGCCTTGCAAGCAGGCAGTTGTGAGTTTGATCCCTGGTACCGATAAAAAGAAAAAAGACAAAAAAAAAAAAAAAAAAAAAGACAGGGACCATGACACTGTTTCCTACCTCATCTCGTAGGTTCAGTAACCACTAAAGTCCTCCACTGAAGAACATTTTAGGTTCTCAAATCTGATCATACATCATAGCCACCTGCTGGCGTTTGATTTTTCTCCACTATTCTCATTTCAGTTGAGCTGTAAGTAACAGAAAACCCCTACTCAGATGCCTTGGACAGTAAGGAAAGTCACAGCCCCACACAAGGAGAGTCTCAAAGAGGGCAGGCTCAGGTAGCCAGATGTGGCACAGTGACCGGGCTTCTTTCCTCTCTGTGACTGCCATCTCGAGCACTGGCTTCCTGCTGAGGCTGGTCACACGGTGACTGTAGGTATCCCCTGGACTCATTTAGACATGTTCTCAACCAAGAGGAGGAGATGACTGGTCTAAAGCCTTGTTTGCTTCACAGGCTTGAAGAGCCACTTCTCAGAGGTTGCCCCAGCAAACCTCACTTCATGTCAGGGGCAAGTCCTGTGGCCATTTGCCCAGTCACTGCCCAGGGCCACACGATACCCAGATCTCTCTGAGTGAACCTGCTCTGGAGTGGAGAACTTGGTTCTGGGGCATCCACAACTCTGGATGTGACAGTTCTGTGCTTATCAGGGACAAAATAGAGTAATTTTCCCTATATTTTCATCTTCTTTAAGGATTAATATTCTTATATTTATTTCTGTGACTATCATCTCAAATCTAAGTACATTTATAAAGCTATAATTTGAAATTTGAATGGTTCCATAGCCTAAATTTTATATGTAAGTGATTTTTTTATATTTTCACATTTCCAATAAATTTTTATAACCTTAATATCACATGGCTATCCTTTTAATGAAGCTAAAGCTTACAGATTCCAACATTTGGGAACCTTGTTGCCTGCCACCTTTTTTGTCATTTCAGCCTCTCTCTGACACTGAAGGAGTTGACCCTGAAGACAGGGACCACTAACAGTTCCCTACCTCATCACGTAGATTCAGTCACCACTGAAGTCCTGTCTCGTCTATTTTTCCCCTCTTTTCTTCTCCTACTTAATAACTTATTTTTAATCCCCATTTTTTATCATATTACTATCATAATCTCCTTGGTGTTCATTTTGACTTTGCTTAAACTTCTTCAATGACTTCCCATTTCTTATGGACACACAGCATCTTCCATTGCACAACAGCCACCTGTTCCTCCAATCTTAGCTCATGCCACCTGCCCAGGACCATGGGTCTCTAAGCATAGATGAGTTGAAAAGTGCAAACACAGGAGTTCTTGCACCTTTCATTCCTGAATCTTGCATGCAGATCTGAACCTACCTGCAGTGTCCTGATGCTTGTCAGGAGGACAAGCTTCATGCTTGTCAAGGAAGACACAGCTCAGATGATAGTTTCAACATCTACTATCATTCAAATACTGTCTACCTTCTCTGCTTCTGTGCCACTCTGCACATTTACTGTGGTCCTTGTGATGTACTTTCATGGTGTGTGTAAATCTGCTTCACTTAAACCTTATAATATGCAAATATCTTAATCACCTTTGAATTACTTATGCTTCATGACTTGTAACCAGACACACAGTAACTATTTGGCTGTCTTCCTAATGACATTAAAGAGCAGTCAAATTTGAAACTGGGCTGGAGCCCCTTGCATTTGAGTATTTAAAAGTCATTTAATATTTCAAACCTGGGAAGGTATTATCTGCTGCCTCTTTGAAAATATTTTAAAAATTAATGTTTAGTGAGCTGTCACTAATGGTGGTGGTTACGTGAAGAAAAGCATGACCACCAGTTGTGTGCTGGGGAGCATTAATGTACAGTAATAGTAGAATTGCCTTGAACTCTGTAGGGGAGGCTCTTGTGCATTACTTTGAGGAACTTCAAGCTCATGCCCTCCTGTTAGCAGAGGATTTCAAGAGGAGGAATGGCCACTCACAAGATTAGAGGCCAGGGACCTTCTGTTCCACCCTGTCACCTCCATTCTCAAGAAGAAGAGGGACTGGAGATGGATTTCAGTCGCCAGTGGCCATGGTTTCCTCAATCATGCCTAGGCAGGAAGTCTCCATAGAAACGTGCTGAGTCAGAAGGCCCAGACATCTTTCTGGCCTGCAAAGATGTTTATGTGCAAAGCAGAGGGGCGCACTCCACCCTTCGGGCAGACTTTCCTGTGCTTGGGCCCTTCCAAACTCTGCCCTGATCCCCTTCATCTGGTTGTACCTGTGTCCTCCATCACCACTGTAGCCACACATATCACTGGTCTGTGTTCCAAGCCATTCATTCCTGAGCCTGAGCAGGGGTGTTGCAGCCCCGCAGAGAGAAAGCAGGCAGCATGAGCCCATCCACATCTGGAATCTGCAGCAAAACTGGGCAGTGAGCGTCAGAACTGACCTGAGAGCTAGGACACCCAGTTCCTGTCAGAGATTTGTTCTTACTGTTAGGAAAAGAACATTTCCTCCCAGTCTGTGCTGCTTGAGATGGGACTTTTACTCTGTGCTAAGCATAATACTTCTGTAAAATAAGAACTCAATAAACATTTCATTGTAGCAAGTTGTTTACAGCCTCTGAGTTGACAATCAACTATCATCAAAGGAAAATTAAATTCCATAAAACAAACGAAGTTCTATTAGTATTTTAAGGAGAGGAAATAGACTTCCCAGTCGGATTCTGCCTACTATTCCAAATGCCCACGTGGCAGAAGACTCTGGCAGTGGCAGAGAGGACAGCAAACCAAACAGCAGCAGTGGCTCAGACCCCAACACCACTTCTTCCGCAACCCGCCCCCCAGTCTCCCACCAAACATAAAGGCCACTCTGGTGACCCATGCACACCCACAGTGATGGCACAGCTCATAACAGCTGAAGCTTGGGAGCTGTCTCAATGCTCATCAACAGGTGAATGGGTAAAGAAAATGTGGTATCTCTAAACAGTGGGGTACCACTCTGCCATCAAGGAGGACATACTTCAATCATTTGGATGGAAATGGATGCACCTTGAGTCCCACTACTAAGTGAAATAAATTAGACGCAGAAGCTTAAATAGCACATGATTTGTGCTATCCTTCTGTTTCCATTAAATCTAGAATTGAGGGCCAGGAATATAGCTCAGGAGCACAGTGCCTGCCTGGCAAGCATGAGGTCTTGAGCTTAATCCAAATGTACCCCCCCCAAACAAATCAAAAACCAAAAAAGAAATTGAAACCAAAAAATCCCACTAGAATTGCAATTGAACAAACTGTGAGCTGGTTTTATAAAAAGAAGAACTGGCCCTACCACTACACACTTAGGCAGATGGTGGTCAAAGAGGTTGGTTGGACTGTGAAGTATCCATTGTGTTCTTGGTTTTCCTCATACAGCAAGGCAGAAATATTTGTTTCCAATTTTGTCACTATGTCAGACCAGTGTTGTATTTGCACAGTAACACTGTGCAGGAATGGTTTGAGACTAGTCTTTAGAAAGCCTTACTTCCCGGGCTGACCTTTGACTTCCATCTAGGAACTTACATTTTGGGAGAGATCATTCCTAGTACTGATAAAGTTAGCTCACTATGCCTAAAGTGTTGTTTCTTTTTTAACAGTATGTTAATACTGAACACCTCTTAAGCTTGGAATTCTGCTACACGCAAGACAGTGCTTAACCCTGGCACTGTCTTTAAGTTTCCCTGGAGATGACACACCACACATTTCACAGTTCATTGTTGAGGGAATTAAGCTCTGTTCCGTTGGACTCTACCAGGAGAGGACTTGGAAACGTGCACATAATTCAGCCATCCTTCCACGAGCTCTTTTTCTCTACAGACTTTGCTTTTATATTTTGGTTGCAATAAGCGGGTATCACCATACCCTGAGTCCTTGAGTCCCTCAGTGGATTGCTGAATCTGGCAATGGCCTTAGCAACTTCTATCAGTTATCTAGAAAGAAAACTGCACTGAATAAACCTGTAGGATTGGAATAAAAATTGGGCACCCCCAAAACGTACCAGATGGGTCCCTCTCCCAGGGAGACAAATCACAGAGTACTGCTTTGTTCCTGTAGATAATCACAAACTGCAATTAATATTAGCACCTCAAAATGAACCTCAAAATTCTCCAACATAATTTATTCATCTTTGTAATGTATGGGTATACTGTACTTCCAAGTACAAGAAACGTTTTATCAATAATACACTTTTCCCGGAAGGTGGAACGAGTATTCATGATACTCCTGAATTTTAAATCATGGGATAGAGGCCGTGGTAGACTCTAAGCAATGGAAACAGCGCGTGGCCGTCAAAGTGCCCCGTGTTTGGCATAGCAAGCACCAGACACCTGGAGTATAAACTGTGGCCGAGGGTCAGGGAGCAACTTGTGGAAAAGGCTAAGTCAGGGGCTTCGGATGTCAAGCTGTGGAATCTGGACTTACACTGGTGAGCTCATAGCTCAATAGGTGACTCATATTAAGTCCTTTTAAGGTTCCAGATAGACTGAAGTCACACCAGGATTCAGGGAGCTGGAGCCCTTGCAGACAGCGGGTGGCGTCATTCTCGCAGGGGGGAGGCGCGGGCGCCCCCTGCCGGGACCCACTCAAAGCCAGGCAGAAGCCACAGCATTGAGCGTGCAGGTTTCAAGGAAAGGAGGCTGAAGATGAGCCCAGCTCCCCAGAAGACTAATCGGAAGAGTGGCTTCCGGGGCCCACGGAGAGAGCCTGCGGGCGCGGCCGCACCCCGCTTTACAGTTGCACGGTGACCGCCTTTAACCTTGAACAGTTTTACAGATTGATATTTTGGAGTCAGCAGGTTAGCAGCTTTCCTTTTTCTGGTACAACCACCGGTGTAAATAAACACTCCTTTCGCATTCATCGAGAAAGCTGACCACGACGTCACGCCCACACGCAGCCGCTACCTGGAGGCCGACTCGGAAGCGGCGCGCCCACCCCGCCTCCCTGGTTTGGCTTCCCGGACGCCATTGCGCATGCTTGCCCTGTCCGCGCCGGAAGTGACGTCACCGAAGCCCCCCCTGCAAGTACAATGCTGAGCTTGTGGGGAGCCGGCCTCGTGCGCGGCTTGGGGGCCATGCCCCCGGCCTGGCAGTGGGGCTCACACGGCCGACCTCTGGCCCTGGCGCGTGCGGCAGGGGCGCTCGGAGCGGTGGGCTGGCGGGCCCGGGCCCCGAGGGAGCCGCGCGGGCGCGCGTTCGGTCTGTCTGCAGCGAAAGTGGTGAGCGCGGCGCCCCGCCCCCTGCAGCCCTACCTGCGCCTCATGCGCCTGGACAAGCCCATAGGTGAGTGGGGCGGCTTCCCGAGGGCCCCGCCGGCCTCACGCGAGCCCGGAGCCCCGGGGCGGGCAGCAGCCAAGCTCACTCATCCCGATGCGGGCGTGGGCGCTGAATCTGGCGGGACGCTGCGCTCGGGCTGCCCTGCGTTTGCGGATTGCAGTGTTGGGAGCACTTTTGCGTTCCCTCAGAGCCTGACACAACTGTAAGGCCTGCGCGACAAATAATCCATTAGGGCCCGAAGAGCCCGAAGAAACGACGGCTTCTCGCCGCGCCAGCCCAGAAGCACCTGGTGTTTGGGGCTGAGCTTTCCCCGCACCATCCCTAACACCAGTCTAGCGCCTTCGGGGGCGCGGCAGGTGCAGCGCTTGCGGGCTGCCTGTCCGCTCCAGGTAGCTGCCTTCGGGTAGTCCGCTGCCTCCACTCTGAGCCCGGATAGCTCAGAGTGAGGATCCGCTGACCTTCCTGTTAACTCCTACCACTCCTTTACTCAGCGTTTCTTCATAGCAGGCAGTTTCATTTCAGTGTACGCCCCACGGACGTGTACTTGTCTATCCAGTGTCTAAAATGTTGCCTGGCAGCGTTACTAAAAGGATTAATAAATTTCTGCCACATCACCTAGTCTTAAAGTTAGAAACTCGCTGCTTTCATGGAACTCTGGTCTGTTGGGGAAATGAAAACAGGTGAACTGGGAATGTGTGGGATCACAGGAGTGGTACAGGTAGTAAGTGCTGCGGAAAGAGAAGTTACTGTGAGCCTCCATTACTGGAAGACGTCTAGGGAAGAAATTGAACCTCAAAAGATGGGTTGCTTTTACAGAGGAGGGAAGAGAGGAGGAGGCAGACAATAATGGAAGCTAAGGCTGGACACCAGCTGATTGGAAGACTACCGAGGTGGGAAAGATGGAGGCTGAGCACCAGCTCATACCTATGTTGACATTTGGCTGTTTCAGCACGTGGGGCACATGCCTGGGTGTAGTCTCACCACCTTTGCCCAGCCAAGAGACCCAGCTTATGTCTTGTTTTTGGAATTCTAAGGTTATGCACACATGTTTGAGATCAGAGCACTAGGAGCCTTAACCATTTGCATTTAGAGCATAAAAGCAGTTACCTCCGTATCAGATGATAAGGACTTCCCGCCACCATTCAGATGCTGAATAGATGCCTTGCATCTTTAGAGACAGGTTCCAGTTAACAGGCATGAAGGTTTAAGCCCAGTTCAAACCCATAGCCTGACTATTAATCAGTCCTCTTGGGTTCTGCACCAGAGACTGTGGGGGATCAGCTTACAGACACCCAAGAAAGACTGATAGCTGCCGTTATTTTCATTTCCGTAGTCAAACCTGTGCCTTTTCTCCTGGTGCCTGGACATTTTTCCAGTTAACAAGAGGCCATGAAGTGGTTATGAGCAGAGTCCTGGAGCCAGACCTTTTGGATTGGGCTCTATCCATTCAGGAACCTTGGTTAAATTACTTTCTGGGCTTTATTTCTTATCTATAATGTGAAGATATTAATATTCTGTAAGGTTGCATGATGTTTTACAAACATGCTGAGTACTTTGAACAGTAACTGACATGAAAGAAATATTAGCCATTATTACTGCGTAAATGTGTACTACAGAAAATTGTGTTTATAGTTATGTGTGTTAAGATGATACTAGCCTACATGCTTTTTTACTTTTCATTCATTTATTTATTGGTACTGGGCATCGAACTCATGACCTGGTGCTTGCCAAGTAGGTGCTTGTGACACTGAGCTAAACGCCTGGCCCTAGCCTACATGCTTTTTATAAATTTTCTATAAAGCTTAGGATTCATTCAACAAATATTTTTTTCTTGAGCCCCTATTAGAATTCCTGATTTAAGCTGGGTGTGGTGACACACACTTGTAATCCTAGCACTCAGGAGGCTGAAGCAGGAGGATTGTTGTGAGTTTGAGTGTGTCCTGGGCTACAAAGTGAATTCAAGGCCAGCCTCAACTGCATAGTGAAACCCTGTCGCAAAAAGACAGAAAAGCAAAAATAAAGCCAGACAAAAAACAATTACTAGAATTCCTGGTTTACTTGTTTATTTAAGTTCTGTTGTGTGGTAATTTTATGTTTATTTTACTTTCCTGAAGTTATTACTTTCATAAGCCCATAGTAGGTTTCATTGTTTTTGGAGAGGACAGTACAACTTCTTTCAAACTGGCCAGTCAACCTGCATTATGCCAAGAAGTTTCAGCAGGTGGCACTCTTTCCCACTAACTTATTTAGGGTTGATTATGTTACATTAAAGATAATGTATTGGGTGAATGAATCTTAGATTGATTTACACAGACACTTTACTCTGCCCATCACCTTTCAGAACTTATTTCATCTTCTAGAGATTATCTTCCTTGGTAGGAGACATTTATTTCTGCAACCTGTTTGTCTCTTACTATCTCTGCATCTTTTTTACAGAAGGGACCAAAAAGAATCAGTGTCACAGGAAAGACAGGAGAAAAGACAGAAAAAAATGGTGCTGAGAATTAATAGGTACAGAAGACCAAGAAGTAGAACGTTTTTAATACCAAATAGCAAAAAGCTGTCGTAGAACAGCCCCTGTCTCGTGGGTCCATCTCAGTGTGTTGCCCTAACTGCAGTAAGGGAAGTTTTCACTAACTGTTGATAGATTAGGTGCATAGGGAACAAAACCAGAAGTTACTGGGTGTTGCGTGAAAAGTATTCTTTGCTAGTTCCCCTCTACAAAAGCCACTGTCAATATATTACTACTGTGTGCTGCGTCTTCTTTATTAATGTGTGTTTCTTGACATCACATGTGAACACGCACTGTCTGAAGCTTTAATACATAGAGGTGTATACCCACACAGTATGAGACATTGTAAGTTGTCTTCTATGAGTGTTGAACCGTTTTGTGACTTCATCAGAAATCCAGCCTCCCAGGGCATATTGTGAGACTTTGGGCTTTGCCAGTCTGACAGATGACAAATGTGACCAGACTAGTTTGAAGGTGTGTTTTCAAAGTTGAGTGTGCCTTGCTATGTGGAAGAGCCATTTTTAGTTCTTCTCTGTGAATATTACTTTTATTATGTCTTTCATGTGCTTCCTAGTTGGATACCTCATCTTTTTATTCTCCATTTCCAGGGCATCTTTACTGATGAGTGAGAATAGTCTTGACTCTGCTTATAGTGTTCTTTACTTCTTTAGGATGTGGTGTTTAAACAGTAGAAGACCAATTGACCAACTTGAATTCCTACTTTTTTTTGTCTTTCTGCTTCCTCTTAGGAACCTGGCTGTTGTATTTGCCATGTACCTGGAGCATTGGTTTGGCAGCTGAGCCTGGGTGTTTTCCAGACTGGTACATGTTGTCTCTCTTTGCCACTGGAGCTGTTCTGATGCGCGGAGCAGGCTGTACTATTAATGACATGTGGGACCGTGACTTCGATAAAAAGGTAGTTTCCTCCTGGAAAGGAGCAGAGAGGCAGCTCTCATTTCTGCAGAATGCCATGGTTGATCACTCGGTGGTCTAACTGACATCAGCGTGAGAAGTGTGGGCGTCGGGGACAGCGGTGCTGCAGGTGTGGTCCCCTTCTTTCACAGCACAGGTGTCCACGGGCAAGGTGTGTATCTTTGCCATGATTCAGCGTTTGCAGGGTGAGGGTGCCCGAGTTCAGGGCTGGGGCTGGAATTCTCCACCTCTGTGCTGAGCACCTGTCCTGCTGCCCAGGCATCTCCCGGAATCAGGTCTTAACTTAGCTGGGCCTGGATGGTGCTGTTAGCGTCACCTGTGCAGGAGATGCCCCCATTCTGTTTGCTTTTCAGGGTCTCAGTTACCCACTGGAGCCACAGCACAAAAATATTTCAGATTTCAGAATAGGCGATTCATAAGCTTTAAATAGCACCATTCTGAGCAGTGTGATGGATGACAGCTTTTACTAAAGTATACTGCTATAATTGTTCTATTTTATTTTTAATTACTATGGTTAACTGCTTACCGTACCTGAAATATAAATTTAAATTCTATTGCGAGGTATTTACAGGGAAAAGCAGGCATAGTCAGTTTGGTACTGTTAGACTTCAGGCATCTACCGGAGGTCTTATAGGCATCCCTTGTGGGTGAGGAGTAACCACAGCTAGTTTTTGAAGAAACACAACTCTGTAGAAATACAACTCTTCTTTTCTTTGAAGAAAAATTTTACACACTTGTTTAGAAAAATTCTAGAAATATAGAAATGAAAAATTAGAAAGTACACATCTTCCTTATTTCCTCCTCAGTCCTCAGAGAAAATTTTGGTTAAATTGCCCCTCCATATTCCTCTGGCTTATTTTATATGCATACTACATGTATTATTATTTCCTTATTTTCTCCACAAAGAGGCCATCTTTTTGCTTTTTATTCTAGGCACTCTGATCGAAGTTCAGGATCATTAAATGCTTGTGTACATAATTTGAATTGGGTCTGGGAATATAGCTCAGCAGCACAGCGCCTGCCTGACAAGCATGAGGTCCTGAGTTTGATTCCTGGTACCAAAATCATCATCATCATTGCCATTGAAGTGAAAAGAAGCCCACAGTGAATTATATAATTTCTATAAACTTTCACATAATCTGAATGTTCTTTAAGGAAAACACATTTAGAAGAGTTTTTGGCTTAGCACAGTGTCAACATTCGCCTTTTTTTTTTCTTTGAGAGGAGTCCTTGCTGTGTAGCCCAGGCTGTCCTGCACTCATGGTGAGCCTCCGGAGTGACTGGAGTGCCTGGTAGGAGTGTGTGCCGCCACACCCAGCATTCACAGTGCTGTTAATTAGGAGACATTTTGTGCTGTGTGTGGGAGCAGTGTCCCTCTCTGCCTGTGTGAAGGAGAGCATCCTGACTGCAGGGTGTCAAGATGGTTAGAGACCTTAGAGCCCATCCATGACAGTGCGGCCCATCTCTCAGCAGGAGGGGGCACCAGCAAGCGTTAGGACAGCACAGCGGGAGGGGGCTGGAGGAGAGGCAGTGACCAGTGTCTCCACAGTGCTGATGGCCCCTGATGGGGCCTGACGGCCCAGCAGGTGCGGCCTCCCTGATTGGGAGCACGCACACGGTTTCTCATTGTGTGCACCACATGCTGAGGCTCCCGATGCACAGCTCTTCAGAGTAACACTCCACATGTCTACAGCAGCTCAGGAGAAGGCTCACAGAAAATGGAAAAGTGTACTATAAACTAGTATAAGGATTAGATCTGTTTGGATAATCAGACATTTAAGATTATTTGAAAGCATTTTGTTCTTATCCTACCTACCAAAACCAGTTTAAGACCTGTAGCTGGTGAACAGGGAATCTGAAGATGAAATGCAAAATTATAATTTCTGTGTTTTGTTTTTTCTTTTGTTTTTGCAGCCCGATGGTTGAACTCAGGGCCTTTACCCTGAACTACATCTGTAGCCCTTTTCCCTTTTTTGGTTTATCAAGACAAGGACTTGCTAGGTTGCCCAGCCTGGGCTGGAACTTGTGGTCCTCCTGCCTCAGCCTCCCACATCACGGGGGTGTGTCACCACTCCTGGCTTGCACACAGATGTTTATAGTGGCTTTAGTTGTAATAAACTGGGACAGTCCGATGTCCTTCACTGGATGCATAAACAGTGTAGGACACCTCTGTGCCACCTTCCAGGGGACCGCACTGAGGAAAAGTCCTTGGAAAAAGTTGGATGCCATGTGCTTCCATGCTTGCAGCATCCTTGAAGTGGCACTGCAGAGTGAGGAGCAGATGCACTGGCAGGGAGTCGAGAGGGAAAGGAGACAGGTGGCTGGCGGAGGGCAACGCAAGGGACCTGTGCTAGCCGTGTTCCCGTCCTGTGTCCAGCAGCCTTGGGACCTTGCTGTGAGGGGCTGGGGCAGAGTTCACTGGTGCCAGAGCGCACGCCTAGCACACACAGTCCTGAGTTCCCTCCAAGTAATGCTCTGGGTTGTGAGACGTCCTGTATGATGTTACTGTTGAAAGGAAGCCCATAAAGAGTTTCCTGCCTTAAAACTGCAAAAGAAAAAACTTTAAAAAATACATTCAAACCAGCCAACTTTCTCCGTGTTTTTACTCAGCAAAGGAGGGCCAGTTTGATTCTCCCCAAGTGTTTAGCCCTGTAGGTAAAAGGGAGCTGATTAGGTGTCCTTCTCATGCCTCTTTCCCGGATAGAAGGACAAGCTCAGATAGTGTCCTATCGTACCACAAGGCGCCAAATGAATGTGTTATAGCTGTTGAGGTGGTTTTACAATATGCTGTGTGTTTCTTTAGAAGGATGAGTTAAAAAGCTTGACCTAACTATATGCTTACCTCAATTTCTTAAAAGCAGTGTGTCATTAAGGACATGTTTATGGGTTTTGCTTAATGCATTCCAAGTTAAATAAAGAGCTAATAAATTAAATGTAAGTAAATTGTTATGAGGGCATATTATGTTTGTTGATGTAATTTGTTTGTAATTTGTTTGTTGATGTAATTTGTTTGTAATTTACCAGCAGCACAATTGTGTGACACAAGTTAGGTTAAGAGCATCGAAATATTAATACATGGATATCAATGGTTTACTTTTTTTTTTCTAATCGGTATCAGGGATCGAACTCACGACCATGCGCTTACAAGGCAGGTGCCTATGCTGCTGAGCTAAATCCCCAGCCCCTATGGTTTACATTTGTAAGCTGCAAGTCTTCTGATTTCATACATTGTTTTTCTCTCTTTATTCTTTTTGTATTGAGTCAAACTCAGGACCTTGTGCTTGCCAGGTAGGCGCTTGTGCCATCAAGCTACAGACCTGGCCCCTTCGTTTTACTTGAATGGGCCGAGTTCGCCACATAGAATCGATTAAACATTGTGTATGCGTGTGCTTCAGACTGTGCATTTCTACCCTGTGATTAAATGCTGTTATTCCTTCTCCCTTTCTGTATTTAACAGATGGGTTCCCAAGGCTAGGTTAAATAATTTGCCAAAACTCACATAGCCAGTAAGTGATAGAATTCAAATGCTGGGCTAATTCCAGGTCCTGTCTTCTTACTTTCTAGCGCTGTTGACAGTTTTGGGAGTGCTCTTTATTTGTGGTGGAGTTTGGGCTGATCGTATTTCTTAAAGAAAGAAAAGCAGCGCATGTGCGTCACTTTCTTAGCGAATTTGCTCAGTGTCCCAGGGATCTCACCGCAGGAATGAGCATGGGTGCTGTGATGACACAGCGCCCTCAGGCAGCAGCAGACACACTCCCCGCACAGCGCTGGTGTTGTCTTCTCTCTTCACGCCTGTCCTTTGGCTCAGACACCCCTGTGCTGATAGGTTCGCCTCACCTGCGTGTTGCAGCTTCCCCTCCCCAGAACGCCCCTCATCCTTGCCCCTCTTCTTTGTGGAAACTGAACTTACTGTTGGTGATGCTGAGTGGCTAAAGGCTGGATGAGGAAGGTGCTTTGTTTTGTTTGTCTGGAGATGGGGTTGGAAAGTCAAATGAAAGGGAATGAGCGGCCGGAGTTCTTAGCCCTTTTCAAAGCTATTTTAAATGGGCAGCTTTGTTTTTTTAAGCCTCAGTTTCTCAATATAATCAGACTGCACTATGCAGTTCTCATATGAAGTGTCAGAATTTAGAACAATTCGTCACTGGCTTGGAGCTGCATCCAGGTAACTAGGCCTGCCCAGTCTTACCTGCCGGTGGTTCAAGAAGATACGTTTAAACAACAATGGCTAAAGTGGACCCAGGCCAAGGATGGATTCAAGGCTATGCCAGCCTGCAGGTTCAGGAGATGCCCAAGATCCCATTAAGCGTGTGACTTTTTCCCATATGGTGACATACCATCTGCGGAGAAGAAGCACTCGACCCTTGTGCTCTATCCCAAAAGTTAATGGGCAGCTTTATAGCAGGAGCAGTGAGGCAGGCAGAGGTTGGAGACCAGCCTGGGCTCCAATCGAGCTCAGGGCCAGCCTGAACTGTGTAGTGAGACTGTCTCAAAAAGGCAAAGAACCAACCACAAGCAAACAGGCAACTTTCATTCTTGAGGGCACTTAAGTGTTGATTTCACTCTACTTATGCAGTGGGCCTTTGATTTACAAACCCATTGACTGGTTTCAACTCGGTGTCAGCTGAAGGCTGAGGCCCCTCGACACAGCCTTCAGAGTCTCTCCAGTATATGAGAGATCTCGGTGTCCTTAGAGGGACATTGGCCCAGGCTTTTTCAGTTAACCCCATACAGGAAAGGATGTTGTCGTGTTCCTTCCAGAACTCTAAGGGTTAAATCTACCTTTGAGCCCACCTGGAAACCCTGCAATCCACGTCATAACCCAGGTCATTCCCCTAACTGTCCACTGTATCTGCGCCTCAGTGCGTACCACAGAAAGTCTCTTCACTAAGTGTTTAAGCCACAGTGTCTATGCATGAGGCTAAGGCATCTGTCTGTGTCTTCTGTTTAAGGTCACAAGAACGGCAAATCGCCCAATAGCCGCTGGAGACATTTCAACTTTTCAGTCCTTGGTTTTTCTTGGGGGACAGCTGACCTTGGCGCTATGTGTTCTTCTGTGTCTGAATTACTACAGGTACATTACATGTGTTTCTCATGAGCTTGTATAGACTCACTTCTGAGATGGAGGAAGTAAAATAGAAAAACCTTTGTCGGCTGGGGATTTAGCTCAGCGGTATAAGCACCTGCCTTGCAAACAGGCGGTTGTGAGTTTGATCCCCGGTACCGCTTTAAAAAAAAAAAAAAAAAAAAAAAGATAATGGCAGAGTTGCCAGAAGTAAAAGAAAAAAAGTGAAAAACCTTTGTCAACAAAGTTGCTTATTGGCTGTCTATCCAGGATCTGTAAGTTATGAAGCATAAATACATTAACGCACCACACACTGTAAAATCTGCTTCAAGAATGCTTCCAGTCAGACAGAGAAGGTGGCATGCACCCCGCAATCCCAGCATTCTGGGAGTTCCAGCCCCGCCTGGGCAACTTGGCAAATGCGTGAGATCCTGTCTCAAAATTTTAAAAATAGGAAAGAGGCTGAGGATGTAGCTCAGTGAGAAGACCCTGGGTGCCATCTCCAGTCCTGCAAAACAAAATGACAGTGATAGCCAAAACCCGCTTTCAGCTGAGAGAGTTAGAGTCAGCGCAGAGCGGGTTCTGAGCCACCTTACTGAGGGCATAGGTCCCTCTGAAGGCTAAGTGTGTCACCGCTTGTGTGTGCGGAGGTTGTGCCAGAGCTGTCTCCAAAGGTGGTGGGGCACAAACAAGTAGGCTCATTCTCAGGGAGGAACTGTCGCCTTTCTCCCTGATTACCAGGGGCTTCAAGAAGGAAAAAAAAAAAAGACACAGATGGTGGGAGTGTCAGCTATAAGCCTGGCTGTAGGGCCAGGCTCACCCGGCCATGGGCTAACAACCGGAATAACTTGAAAACACCCCTAGGAGGTTCTGGGGGTGCTGTGAGTTGGACTTCAGGAACCAGAGCATCCTGGGTCTCCACGCTTGCCTTTTCCTGGGAGCTAACTCCCACCATGAGTGGAGGAGTTCTCTCGTGGAAGTCTGGTCCGCTGGCCACTTCGGCCTCAGATGGTTTCAAGAGGCCATGTGTGGTGGGAAGCAGGCTGGACTCGATCTCAGTCTCAGCTCTGCTGTGGGCAAGCTGTGTGACGGTGACAGGTTGTTTCATCTCATCTGCGGAGAGGAACCAGAAGCAAACCATGGACAATGCAGGCGCTTATGCCGCTGAGCTAAATCCCCAGCCCCCTGCAAGCTGAACTTCTGGCAGAAGCAAACCATGGACAAACCAGGACAAGCAAAGCTATGTCCTGGGGCGTGGTGAAGACTGTAACAAGCTAGCAAATGTAAACCACGCCGTGCTGTGTGTCAGCTGTTTGTTTGGTGTTTAGTCAACATAAAATACTTTCCTAATCATCCTTTATAAGAGGAAAAGCCGTAGTCCAGAGAGAGAATTTTTCGTGACAAAAACCATTATTTAAGACCTTAAAAATTTCCAGTAGTGCTACGTCTCCCAGTACTTAGTGATTCCCAAGTGACGGTGACATTAACCATTCTCCTGTTTGCAGCATAGCTCTGGGAGCAGCGTCGCTGGTTCTGGTCATCACCTACCCCCTGATGAAGAGAGTCACGTACTGGCCTCAGCTAGCCTTGGGTGAGCTTGAAACAACTGTTTCCTTTGACGTGCTCTAGTTACATTTTTCTCTATCATGTGTATATATATATATACACATATGTGTGCTGTCATGAAAATTTCCAAACCAAGAATATTTGTAAAGGGGACAATTAATCATTCTTCTTGGCTAAGAAATTGTGTGTCTTTCTGTGATTAACTTTATGGTGTTTTCATAGTGCTTTTTATAGATCTAGGTGTATCACAAGGGGCAGGTTGGTCAAGGGACCCTGAAAAATGTGGGCGTGGTAGGGAGCGCTGCTGGGCAGATGGCTCCCACCCTTTCTGTGCTGCCTGCTGAGCCCTTCCGGGAGGTGCAGTCCTCATCGTCACAGCAGGACTGCTTCCTGGTCTCCCCTTAAGTAAACGGTAAGTGGCTGAGAGAGAAGCGCCCTCTGTGTGGCCCAGCCTCTGTGTGGGTGTTTAGTGCTGTGCTGCTGTGGGAAGGGAGGTGGGGAGGTAGGCAAAGCTGCTCCCTGGCTCTGTTACTCTGTTTCTAGAAGACTAGTATAAGCCTACCATGATTCTGGTGAGCCACTTTTCTGGTACATAAAAGGACAGACACAGTCAGAAAACTGGTAAGAGCCTGGCTTGCAGGGAAGTTGTGGGGAATGTTTGTCCTTTCCTGAGACACTCCCACTGGATACTCTTGTCATTGTTAAAAAATAAATAAGTAAATAATTTATATCTTAACTAACCCGGGAATCTTGGTAAGAGGAAGAGATGCATTTCCAGATTATCATATAATACCCAGAAACTGGTACATTTAATGTGAACCTTTATCAAACCTCTACTTTTACGTTGCGTCAGGAATTGCACTGAGTACTCGGGATACAAAAAAGATAACCCATTCACCATCTCTAAGGAGCTAGAGGAGGAGACTGCAAGTCTGGAGGCGACTGGAGTAGCCGCTGGTGTGCACAGGCTGGGGACTTCAGGGGACAGGCACTGGGTTAGCCCAGGGCAGCCTCCGGGGAAGGAGGGTTAGGAAAGAAGATGTGGGCTTGCCGAGTTTAAGGGGTCGGGGGGGACTCACGGGCAGGAGGTCCTGCCAGAAGTTCAGCTTGCAGGGGGCTGGGGATTTAGCTCAGCGGCATAAGCGCCTGCATTGCAAGCAGGTAGTTGTGAGTTCGATCCCCAGTACCAGTAAAAAGGAAAAAGACAAAAAAAAAAAAAGTTCAGCTTCCAGTCTGGGGCCTGCAGGTAGAGAATTGGGAGTTGTCACCATGTGGGCGTTTCCCTACAGTCCTCAGGGACAGTGTTCCTGTGGGTTCACAGATGGAAGGAGCACAGGCTTGTGAGTTGCTTGGGTCTGAGCTCCCACCACAGCACCACCACCATCTGTTGACCGAGCCAGACACAGTAGTGGGGTTCGTGCTCCCCTGTTTACCTCAGCAGAGATGCCCTTGAGCCAACTAACCTCAGCCCGTTTCCTTTCTTGAAGGATGTAACTGATGCACTGAGACGCCTTCATGGAGCTGGTGGTGCACAGCCCACCCGTGGGCCTGCAGGGGCAGCATGGTGCCTGAAGACAGCCCCCTTCCCTATGCACCCACCGGCCATCCTTTTTCCCTTGTGTCTGCTTGCAGGGCTGACGTTCAACTGGGGCGCGCTGCTTGGCTGGTCTGCCGTGAGGGGCTCCTGTGACCTGTCCGTGTGCCTGCCTCTCTACTTTGCTGGGGTCATGTGGACACTGGTCTACGATACTATTTATGCCCATCAGGTGAAGAGCGCTGTGTCTTTAGCTTATGGGTTGTGGTTTATAAGAACTATTTCATGAGTGCTAAATAAGGGGAAAGTCTTCCTAGAAAGTCACAACTCCATGGCTGCAGCAAAATTGTTGTTTCGTGTTTATCTTCGTTTCCCAAAAAGTTCAAATCATTCTTTTATTTTTAAGCATTTAAATAATAATCACAGTGCAGGAGGCACTGACTCTGCACTGTTTTAAACACTTCGCACTTCGTACTGATTTACTCTGCATAGAGGCTGCAGGGAAGGTACTTTCCTTAACCTGTGTTATGGATGAGATGTGGACAAGTGACCTGTCCTCATCACACAGTCGGGAGGTGGCAGGGCTGAAGGTCAGCCCGAAGCTCCAAAGTCCCACAAGTCACTGTCCCTCTGTACCACCCTGACCACCACATTGGGCAGCTTTCTCACTGGGGTAGGGAATGAACATTTTCCCTTATTTTCTGACTTCCTACCATTGTCTCTGTAAGATGACACAGTGGTCCATGGTCTTGGCAAGCCGTAATTACTTCAGCCTACCAGGACGTCCACCGAAACTGTTTGAGTTTTCAAGATCACAGATGCTGTTACTCTGTTCACTAGCGCTTCATGAGTACGAGGTTTTTGGGAAATACAGTCCTGGGTACGAGGCGTAGTTCCTGCAGGAGAGCGGGTGGCTGGGTGGCCAGGCGGAGTCGTGCATCCTTGTGAAGGGGGATGTGGTGCGGTGCAGTGTGAGTGGGCGGGAGCTGTCTGGGTGGACATGGCCGGTGCTGAGTGAGCAGTCGTGTACGTGTGGTTTAGCACGCTTGAGCTGCAGCCAGAGAGATTACGGGACTAGAGACTCCGAGGCAGAGGGACCTGCGATCGGAGCTGAGCCATGGCCGACTCCAGGGGACGTGTGGTTAGGAGTATGCAGGGCACAGAGACAGCGCGGCCGGTGGGCTTGTCTACAGTAGCCAGCCACTTCACTGGCCTGCACGGCCACCACTGACCACAGGCCACTTAGGAATGACTGCTGTCTCACTGTGTGGTGTATCTCCCTGTTCTAAAAAGACCATTTCTCCCGCAGTTACAGTGATGATTCTGCACCTTGGGATTGTATTAAATGCCACCAAATCACACGCTGCCAAACCTGAGCTGTATGGTATGAGGAGGAGCTCCATAAAATAATGTTTCTTACTGTTTCCTGCCATCAGGACAAAAGAGATGATGCTCTGATCGGCCTCAGGTCCACGGCGCTGCTGTTCAGAGAGGACACCAAGTACTGGCTGGGCGGCTTCAGCGTGGCCATGCTGGGGGCTCTGAGCCTGGTGGGTGCCAGCTGCGCCCAGACCCCGCCCTACTACGCTGCGCTGCTCGCCGTCGCTGCCCACTTGGCCCACCAGGTTTGCTCTTCCCTTTCTCCTTCCTCCTTTGGTGGGGGCACGGGTTATGTAAGTAGAATGCTGTCTCTGTTTACTGGGCAGGAAATTTAACTTCGTGACCTGTCCTGACTCCCTTCCCCAGATCCAGCTTGTTATTAAAAGGCTGTATTTTTGTCTTTGCTTTTGTTTTGTTTTGTGTTTTTGAGACAGTTTCACTATGCAGTTCAGGCTGGCTCTGAACTCACTTTGTAGCCCACACTGGCCTTTAACTTCAACTGGCAGTGATCCTCCTGCCTCAGCCTCCCAAGTGCTAGGTACAGGCATGTGCCACCACCCCCATCCAAAGCTGCATTTTAAATAAACAATATAAACCTAAACCTGGATTGGAATTGCTGTATCTCTGGAAAATTTTCAGCTATGTACGAGACAATGTCTAGGTTGAATTGAATTTTTTTTTTTTAAAGAAACATTTGTGGTTTTTGTTTTTTTTTTTTTTTGAATCTGTTTCTGGTTATGGTTGACAAACTAATCTTTCAGAAGTTTGGTTCCCACTGGCCCAGAAAGCAGCACCGAATAAGATAGGAAGCTAAATGCTGACCATGTTGAGGACCTGCTCCAAGGGCAGGAGATGGGCATTCCAGGTATTCAGCCAGCACTGCATCCCTTCGCCCACAAGCGTCTGTTAAGCCTTGTAAAATGAATGACTAAATCTGATTTTGATTATATCAGATCAGATGGACTAATTTTGTAGGAACGTGACTGTTATTTTCTTTGAACAGAGTAAAATTTGTTAGTGAACCTGCTAATGTAGCTGACCTACAGTGGCACTTTGAATTCTGCCCATGATTCTGGAAAAGATGCCCACGTTTGGGTTCTTACAAATGATCAAGGTTGTATTTGTTACCTGGCACAGATTTTACACACAGAAACAAATGGTTACCAAATGATTCTGTTTGCAAACCTATCGTTTGTGAACAGAAGCATCCATCAGTGAAGTAGCACTGAGCTTCACAGAGACTTGTTAAGTGTCCCCTGGTGTAGGTGAGGGCCGTGTCATGGAGTGGGGAGGAGACTGCAGCAGGCTGTGTTTCCTTCCCGGAACCACTGAAGTGGGTCTCAATGGCCCCGGCTCTCCTTCTCCCCTCCAAGTTCTGTAGCCTCCTCCGGCCTTGACTCAGCTGGACTCGAACTGCCCACATCCGTTGACTGTCTGGGCTGATACTGGATACACGTTTGTATTTTAAGTACTTCAGCACCTAAGTAGCAGATGGCAGATGGGAGGAGAAATTGTGAGGACAGTCACAAGTATGAAACTATGGGGAACCCGCCACTTACATTCCAAGTCTCACTTGTGGTCCTCTGTCCAGTCTGCAGTGCCCACTTAGGGCAGACACAGCCTTCTCTTTCCCTGGGCAGAGTGAGACAGGCCTGAGAGACTCTCAGTGTATGTGGACTCCCTCCCGAGGGGAAGTGGTAGGTCTCCTCATAGGGGTGGGAGGGAGGCTTAGAGACATGTCCTGGGTGAAGGGCGCTAGGAACACTCGGTGCCCTCCTGTGCAGCGGCCAGCCCTGTACAGGTGCCCCCTGCCCAGGTACACTGTTTGTCCTTGAGGGCTGCTCTGCTCTGTCCTGCTCTGCTCTGCTGTGCTCTGCTCTGGGCAGTGGGCGCTGCACCGGGGCTGTCTGTATAGAGAAGGGCATGCCCAGGACAGGGTGAGCGTCCCTTATCTGAAAGACTTGGGGCCAGCAGGGTTTTAGGTTTGGTTCGGTTTTTTGTTTTAATATTCACCTGTACTTGAAGCTGTCTTAGGGATGGAAACCAAGTCTGAACACAGCTTGTATCCATTTGATGGCTAAGCATAGCCCGATGGCGGTTCTATGCGGTATTTTTACTGGGCCTCGTTTGACTGCTTTGTCACATGAGGCCAGGGGTAGGATTTTCCGCTCGGCTTCCCATCAGCTCCATGCTAGTGCTGGGTCTTGGAGCCTGTGGTTGGGGGTGGAGGGTGCTGCCCCTGTGAAGGACTGAGTGGTATGGAGTGCGTCTCCAGCATCCCCACACACCCAGGAGCTCCTCAGCACACCCTTAGCCAGGCCCAGTGGAGGTTCTCCTGCCTGGAGGCTGCTGGGGGTGCCGCTTTGGTTACTGCTTTTGGTTACGGCTTTGGTTACTGCCAGCTCCCTAACTGCTTCCTCCCTTCCTCCCTGGGTCAGAGGAGGTCCTCACAGTGCTGTGCTCCTCCCCACAGATCCGCACCCTGGACATCCACAGCCCTGCAGACTGCTGGGACAAATTCAGCTCCAACCGGACAGTGGGCATAATCCTCTTCCTGGGGATCATCCTCGGGAATTTGTGGAAAGAGAAGACAGACAAAGCAAAGGAAAATGAAGATGGCAGAATAAAAATTAACAACTAATGTTTATCTAGGAATTCTGAAAACACTCCCAGGTGTTATAACCACATGATTAGTTTTAAAAAAGCAGTGTGCTACAATGTGTTACAGAAGTAAGGGCCGGAAGATGAAGGGTTAAAGTCTGTTTGCCTGGATTTTAATCTAGCTGTTTGCTGATAAAATTCTTCCCATTGTGAAGCCTGGGACTTAGCAGGAATGAAGTCACAGGAAGCAGACGTATTTTAGCACTTTAGAAAATCCCCTCACAAAACCCATAATGTGTTAGTAGGGGTGTTGATCAAAATATATTACATGCATTGGAACTCAAGGTTTTGTAAAATTAATGGACACTACTGATAAAAGGGAAAAATATTTTACAGAAAATGTGTGTGCTCATCTAAGTGGATGTCTCTGTAAGACATGAACTCTTCGGAAAAAGGCTCCTATGGAAAGTTAGTATCATTCTTCACTGATCTGTACTTGTTTCCTAAGCTGTGTACAGGAGGCCATTCTGGTTTTTATGTTTAGAATAATTTAAGCAGATGCATGAATGTTTTTACTACAGCGACATCTGCCAGTGTTGCCGTCTGTGACGTTTGGTCAGCCTGGTTTCTGTTTGCAGCCCTGGTCATCAGGGGCTCTTTCTGTTTTGTTTTGTTTTATCTTATTGCACTATAATTCGTAGGGCACAGGGTCCTACTCAGCCTGACCCGCAGACACAGTGGGATCCTGAGTGTGCAGAGGGCGGCGGGGGTTGCAGCTTCACAGCCAGAGCAGCCCTGTACCCTGCTTCGAAGGAAATAAGGTTGCCCTCAGGTTTGTAGAGACAATATTCATCAAATGGTAAGAAAAACAATAGTTAATACGCTATATACTGCTATCTTCAGGATAGTTACTCAGGGTACAAGACATGGACAAAAACCATTCTTAAAAAGAGACATATGGAATGTGGAAAAACACTTGTTTTGTCTTTTTGAGACAGGGTCTCACAATGCAATCAGGTTGACCTTGAGTTTACTTGAGGCCCAAGCTGATCAAACTTGCAACAACCCTCCTGCCTCAGTCTCCTGATGCTGGGATTATAGGCATGCACCACCATTCCTGGTTAGGACATTAGTTTTAAATGCTTTTTTTTTGATACCAGGGATCGAACTCACGACTGCCCACTTGCCAGGCAGGTGCTTATGCCAACTGAACTAAATCCCCAGCTAAATGTCATATTTTTAAACTAACCTGTGAATTTGGCCTTTAATTCATATTTTAAGCTAATATATACTTTGAATTTAAAAAATAGACTTCAAGGTAATCTCTTGAGGAAAGAAAGGCAAGGAGGTTATTACATTTTGCAGCTTCCCTCCCAAGTAAAGCGTGGGCTGGAGGGCGGTTGGAGGGCTGTTGCTGTTGCTCTACACTTCCCTGTCTTCCCGCAGATAAGGCCTGGTGGAAATGGAGTCTTCTAAGTATAACCTACCTAACTGTAAAAACTGAAAGAAATGTAGGGCCAGGGGTTTAGCTCAGCCACGTGAGCACCTGCCTGGTGAGTATGGTCATGAGTTGGATCCCCAGTACCAAAAAAAAGGTATGTTAATTTCAAGTTTATTTTCACATCAGATACACTGTTAAAATTAGTTTTACCCATCTCTTATAGGGGTTTTTTTGGTACCGGGGATCAAACTCACGACTGTGGGCTTGCAAGGCAGGTGCTTATGTCACCGAACTAAATCCCCAGCCCATCTTACAGTTTTTAAACATGACTCTAGAAAACGTTGCATCATATCCATGGCCAACGTATTTCTGATGCAGGGCAGTCACTGTGAGGTCCTCGATGGTCTGGAGGGATCACTGTGTGAGGTCCTTGATGGTCTGGAGGAATCACTGTGTGAGGTCCTCGATGGTCTAGAGCAGGCGTGGAGAGCTGTGGCCTGCACCTTGTCACACCCTGCCGCAAGCGCACTGCCCTCAGCACCACCTGTGACAGTTGTCTCTAAACTAAAGCTTCCAGGTCGGGGTTTGGTGCAGTGCTGGTGGGTTTGGGCTGGCAGAGCCCTCGACTTCTAAGAGGCGCTCCTTTACCGTCAGAGATTTGGCCTGTAGCAATGGCAGTGTAATTCAGTTCCTCCTGGTAGGGCTTTCTGTGTCTGTGCCAACAGTCTGTTTCTTAGAGTACTTACAGATGTTTAAGAAAATAAGGAGATTGTAAAGTGTGTCCTAGAATGTAGCCACATGTTGGTTCTGGCTTCCGCCACCTTTCCGGGTCTCCTTCCAAGCCGCATGGGGCCCCGTCTAGGTGTGGCCGACCTTCGCTTCCCCAGGATCCCACACCAATCTGGAGGGGGTGATGTGGTCCTTCACTCTGATAGGCATCATCTCATCGGGTGAGGAAGGACAATAAGTGGCAAACAGGAAGAAATGTCCAAGTCCTTTTAAAAACAAGTTCAGAGGACTTGACGTGGAGCAGTGGCATGTGTTCGTAAGTTTTTAAGGTGTACCCGCCAGTGGTGATGGGTGGCACAGTGGCATGGCATGCCCTGCATCTGAAGGGCAGTGCAAACCAGCTGGGAGGTAATCCCAGAGCCCGTTGGAACATGCAGGGGACCCCTGAAGTTGACAAACACAGGCCCAGGTGCCAGCCAAGGATCCCTGCAGCACGAGCACAGCTCATTGTCTCGGGGCTTCCATTCTCTTGCCCCTCCACTATGCTATGGGCTGCTGCCACTGAACCTCCCTCAGTGGTCGAGAGGAAACTGAAATTTCCAAGCATGGAGAAACTCAGCGAAGGCCTTGGCACAGACTTGAGGCTGGCACCCACCCCCCACTGCTTGGGGCTGTGCCTGCCTTGCAGGGAACCCGTTCGAGGAGGGAGGAATGGTCCGGGGTGTGGGTGTGGGGCTCCGCAGGGCAGGGCTGCAGGCAGATGGGTGGGGACACTGTGGCCACCAGGGAGATGCGTGCAGGGTGCTGCCGGTGCACTGGGACAGGTGCCCTCCAGGCCGAGTCTCGGGCCCCAGTCTGTGACCTCTGACCTTCTGAAGAGTGAGACCTGGCCTTCTGCTAACCTGCTCTCTCCAGCCTCCTGATCTCATTGCAGAAACCAGGTGTGGTATGTGCACTGTGCCAGCAGGGGGTGCCAGGATGTCACCAGGAGGGCCTATTGATCCATGCCTTATCCTAGGAGGAAATCCCTGAAACACCAGGTCATGCCAGACTGACCAACAGACCAGTGGGAGCTCAGCAGCACCTTGCCCACCCCTGGGGCCACCACAACTAGCTAACACAGTCTTCTTGATAATGGCCCCTTTGCGGGGTGCCTCCTTTTAAGTCCGCAAGTCCAGCCCCTTCCTTATTTTTCTCACTGTCCAGCTGTTGTCTAGTGAAACATGCCTCTCCCTGATGAACCCTGAAACCCTTTTTCTGTGGTGAAAGACCAGGAAACAACTCAGTAAGGGAAAGGTAAGGATGACTCCTCTTTGGGGCACTTCTTTGGACCCTGTCCGATCACATGGCACCGTCATGATTTTCATCTGAATTGAGTAAAGAGCCCTTGCTGACTTGTAACAGCAGGACTCTGTTCCTGGAGACTTTGGTCAGACACACTGACCAAGCAGAGGATGCTCCGGGACCTTCAGGGAGTGGTGTCCACGTCTTCATGGCTGCTTGCCCAGGCTGGCGACCCTGAGGCAGGGATAGACATCTGTCTGTGGTTCCAGAGCAGGGAGCTTGTGGACAGGCTCCCCAGGGGCCAGTGCAGCGGTGGCCACCAGCCTGAAGCCACATGTGTCCTCAGCCTCCAGCATCCACCCAGAGCAGCTGCCCCAGTGACTGAGTGCTCAAGCCAGGGCCCCACCCTGTCTCTCTCAGGCCACTTCCCCATTCACCCTGCATTGCCCAGCCCAGGGCACCGGCACCATCACTTTCTGCCTTTATGCCCTAAACCAGCGTGCCCTAAAGGGATCAGACTGAGCCCTTTCTGTGCCGCACCATGAGACAGCCGCTGGGCATCTCTACACGTGTGAGGTGACCTTCCTAGCCGAAAGGAGGACGTTAAAGTCCCCTGCACCACCCCCAAGAAGAATCCCTCAAGAAGTGTTCTCTGCCCTCCACTTCCCAGGACTTAAAAAGTACCCAGTATGGAAGGATGAAGCACTAGAGAAACCAGCTTCTCGGTGCTCTAAAACGCCCAGTGGTATTTTCTCCCTGGGTTCGTTTGCACAAATACATTGAGAGGTGGATATGATAAACAGATGGTGGATGGACAGATGATTGGAGAAGCAGATCAGCAGGTACATGGACATCTAGTTACTCCCCCTCCCCTGCCAACATTTTAGTTATGACCTGGGGAGGACTTGTCCTCGTCTCAGTGCCGGGCTGGTGTCCACGGAGCAGAGCGCCAGGCGTGCACCACACGCTCGCTCTGTGGAGGGAAGCAGCAATCTGCAGAGCAGGGAGAGGTGCAGAGACCACCTGGCCCCAGCAGCTTCCTCCGGCTTCCAGTAAACGGGCAGCAGAAGTGGTTTCTGTCCAAACACGATCTTACGCAGGCAGATCCCCACACATGGACAGACCACAGAAAGAGGCACTTCCCTCCAGAAAGAGGCGCCCCTGCCTTCTGAACCCCCCTTTCTTCTAGGATTCACAGGACACAGCTTGACAACTGTGCAGCCTCTAATTTTGTGTGTAAGGAAACTACAGCCTGGAGAAATAATTAAATCACAATCAAAATAAGTTACAGCCATGTGAGAACTGTAAAAGCAATGAACATTTGAGTCATGCAGTTATTGATTGCACAGCACATGCCTTGTGGTGGATGAACTAATGGTCAGCTTGTAACACCCAGCTGAACTGAGTCAGCGTGATGCTGGGTATGGAGGTCCACCTGAGGACTGGTGCCAGCGGCATGAAAGGAGACCTGGAGGGGAAAGTGTGTGTTGTGCAGTCTCCAGGAGAAGCCTGTCACGCTGGCTTCCTGATAGGAGCTCAGCTGTTCACATTTTTGGAGGAGCTTGGGTCCCCACTGTCACTGAGGATGGCTGTCATTTTCCAGGGAGCTCTGTCCTTACCTGGAACTCCAGCTTCCTGGCTGCAGTGCAAATCCCTCAGCCTGCTAGCACAGCTCCTTCACCCCACTGGTGCAGACCTTCTAGCCTTTACCACTGGCTTTTGGGCCTTCCCCATGCATATCTTTGATTCAGACTTGAATAAGACATTGTCGTAAGCTCTGGGTCTTCAGCTGGGCTCGTGGGAAGAAATTGCCACATGATCCAAGCCCTCAGCTGGGTCTCCAGTGTGGACAGGCCTCTTGTGCTCTTCTGCCTTTGGCTTTTTGGATGAATATTATAAGGTAATTCTATAAATTGTGTGTCCTGTATCAAATTCATTCCCTTGCA